TGGAAACCTGGCGGGCACAGGTCAACAAGGGGAACTCCCCCCTCTATGCCCAACCAGGTCTCGGTGATACCTGCCAGGTCCGCTCCCCCCTCATGAATAAGTTCTTGGATGAGGGGGGCCTTATTCACCACGGACCTGGCATTGCATAGCATCAGCCGATGGTCCCGGGCCTGAGGATCTGAGGTCCCTGGAGGTCGAGGAGAGCCCTGAGGATTGGAGCATCCACAAGCTTGTAAGCAGCGTGTGCGTGCTCCCAAAACCCGATATGGTCCTCTGCTCCCGCCATATCTGCCCCTCCCGCTGACCGTACCTATCACACCACCCTCCGCCAGCTCCCCAGTCTCCTCCCTTACCACTCCGTGCCCCCCAGACAGGACTGGCCTTGGCCTCAGAGAGGACTCCCCTAGTTCCTCTCGGGCCAACCCCGAACCCCCTAAGAATTTAGTAAAACACCCCTCTAAGAAGACCCGTAATTTCCTTCTTCTTAGTTCCCTCAGTGCTGTCGCTGAATGCCACCTCTCGGGGTTCCAGACCCCTTCAGCAAGGCCGACCCTTAGAATGGTATTGGGCCATGCCTGCACGATGGGGGAGTCGCGCAGGGCCAGCAGTTCCCTCCTCGAATACAGTCCACAGTCGTATCAGAGGTCCATCAGCAGAGTAGGGGAGGGGAGAAAGTCCTCGTGGTGGCAATCTCAAACGGGGCAAGATGGATTGAGGAAAGGCGGTAAATTCCCAGGTCTTTAAACCCCATAAAAAGGGGGGGAAATAGGCCGCCATCGCGTCGGGCCACTAGATCGCCACAGCCCCGGGTCGCAGATCTTCCTCGGACCGCCGAGCCGCCACAGCGCTGGGCCGCGCTGGGCATGCAACACACATAACAAAAAATACACATTTCATTACCTCGTGACACCACTATTTGGAAGCTAATGATGAATGCTCTCACTATATAAAATATATTTGGGGACAAAACCTATAACCAAGAATACTTCAATATAATGTGGTTTGGATGAATCCACTTCTTAGCTCCATAGATTACTATGCACTGTCTCCTTCATCCCAGGTGAATAAAAGATACTTCCAATATGTCATAGACTTTTTGGATTTCTAGTCAGCCACCAGGTTACTCATATTGGTCTACAGAAAGTCAATTGTTTCATAAAAACATTAAAATAACTTAAGAGGAGAAGATGGTTTCTTGAAAAATCCCTTGGAAGAAATGTATTTGGCAGAATAGAAATTGAGGATCCTTAGGTTCTAGTTCTAAACAGAACACCAAGAATAGAGTTCTGAAAGCATTGTGCTCCCAGTTTGCAATATATCCATGCTCATAAAAAAAAAGACATTTTGGTTGGTGCTGCTCAAAGATCATAGAACTGTCCAAGCAGAACCAAGGTGGTCATTCTCCTGCCAAATTAAATAATTAAATTAAATTAAATTAAATTAAACTAATTAAATTCCATTGAAGACATTTTTGGTGTGTTTATTTTTCCTCTATTTCATCATCTAGAAATTAAGTTCATGACTTCAAAGCAATACAGGTGGCAGAATAATTGTTATTATAAGAAAGTTGAATGATTTATAATTATTGGTGTATATAGTATAATGCATTATATGATAGTTGTCGTGGAAATGATCCAAATGTGCTCTCTTGAAGAGTTGGCATATTCATTTTACCACCTGAGTGCATTATTTAAAAAATCTTTGGAACTGTCTAATTTCCCATCAGTTATTAAAGCATAAAGTTGCATAATAATCATATTAACATGGTGTGAAGGAAGTGTACCCAAATGTAGCTCCTGGCTATCTAATTTTCCCTTTCCAAAAACCATAGAATGTCATTCCTTTGTTGTAATCAAATTTCTTAAAACGATCCATTTGGTGATGTTGTTAATTTATTACTGCCCAACTTTTTCTTTGCATAATTGTAGATTTTTTTTGTCTTTTCTATGTTTCCTTTTTTTATATGCATCTTGGAATTATATTAATATTGTAAAAAGACAATTATATAAGTACAAAAGTACAAAAAAGAAGAAAAGAAAAGAGAAGGTTTTGCTCATTTCTGATGGCCTAGCTATATCATGGTGACAGCAGCCTGTCTTCTAGCAGATATGAATATGTCATCAAAGAAAAGTCTTCTTCTAGACTACTTCTCAAAATCACCCATTGTTTCTGAAGGCATGTCCCCATAATGCAGAAATATGCACAAAAATATATTTTATTTATCTATATATCCAAGCAAGAGATAATTAAGAAACAATTTTCTAGCATACTCTGTCATAATTAATTTACAATACTCACATCAACTTATTACTTATACAAGAGATGAGAAATACCAGAGGTTCATGAGTCACACAATCACATATAACTAACTTGTCTTCCTGGATGTAAGGGTGTGGAACTGCACCATGGACATCTAGATTATAGTCTACAGTACCTTGGCTAAGCCCACAAATTTCTTTAAAATTTATATCTTTCTTTGAATAAGCTGTTCTCGATTATTCAATTCAGGTCTTACCACAATAATATAGCATTTAGGAAAAAAGATGCAACTGAATAACCCAGCACTGGAGGCCAATATGGAGAAGATCTCCACAACCACCATGTATTTTCCTTTAGTGCACAAATAGGTTGGGATGAATGACAACCAAACGCTGCAAAATACCAGCATGCTGAATGTGATGAACTTAGCTTCATTAAAACTGTCTGGCAACTTCCTGGCTAGAAAGGCCACAGTGAAACAGATAATAGCCAGAAAACCCATGTAGCTCAAAATGCAATAAAACATGGTAACTGAGTTTTCATTACATAAAATGATAACTTCCTCAGTCATTGAGTGCATATCCACATCAAGGAATGGGGGGTAAAATGCCAGCCACAGAACACAGATTCCTGCTTGAAATATGGAGCAGGTGAACACAATGGAATAGGCCAGTCTTTTCCCCACCCATTTCCTCATCCTGGATCCTGGTTTGGTAGCCATGAAAGCCAAGACCACAGAAATTGTTTTGGCCAGAATGCTAGAAAGGGAGACAGAAAAGATGAAACCAAAAGTGGTCTGGCGAAGAAAGCAAGTTGCTTGGTTAGGCCTTCCAATAAACAGCAAGGGACAGAGGAAACACAAAAGGAGGGAGATGAGAAGAAGATAAGTGAGACTTTGATTGTTGGCTTTCACAATGGCTGTATTATGGTGCTTCAAGAAGATGCCTAGCGCAAGAACTGTGATCAGAGAAAGTAAAAGTGCTGAGAAAATTGCAATGATAGCCAAAGGATCTTCAAAACCAAGAAAGTTTGGAATTTTAGGAAGGCATTGATCCTGGAATTTGTTTGGATAGTGACCCTCTGGGCAACTGAAACATTTTGCTGTATCTGAAATCAACAAACATACAATTACTCAGAAAGAATCACAATTTAAATCCTATGGTGTAACATGTTCACAGAGACCCAGATGTATATTCATGCAATTAATATGATGCAGGAAAGTATTCTTATATTAAATGGCTCTGAATGTTGCCCTATTATTTGTAGGTAAAGCTTTTATTTATTGATTGATTGGAGTATGTGTGTAAAATTGCAATTTGTCTTTTATCCCTTTTTTTTCAGCAGGTTGCAGATCCTTCTTTCTATCTCATGGTTTAGGAACAAATCCTTTAAATTAGCCAGGAAGGTTCTTCAGATATTTTTCTAGTAGCTTTTGGCAATTACTACTTTTTAAATGTTCACATAACATGCCTTGAAATGGACAAATAGTTCCTTTACTTGGTGCCCACAAAGGCAATTTTCAATTAATCATACAATCAATCACATTCTTCCAGAACACATCTACAACCTTACAGAATGAATCTTCAGTTCTCTCTCTGTTAGCTATAAAATTGTATTAATTACTCCCTTTCCTTATTTATTCATTCTTGACCTTAAACTGTTAAATTCAGTGCCTGGATCTTACTCAATTGTCTTCTAGAGTTGAAGATTAGCTGTTATTAAAAGTTATTATGAAGTATTATTTGTGATATTCATTTATTATGAAAAGAATGATTCTAACAGTGAAGTGCCTGTGGAGAAATGTTGGAAGATCAACAAATGTGTTCTCTAAATAAATAAATATTTATATAGGGAAATTTACATTCTACATCATTTAACTTTTTAAAAGTACTTAATGTTCATACTGAAGTTGGAGAATGTATTCTTGCATTTTCCCCCTAAAACACGACTTATAACTTTGCACAATGTGTCCTACCCTCCTCGTTTGAGAACATTCCATCTGGACATGGAGCACAATCATAGCAGCAAAATTTCTCCCCCTCCTTCTTTTTCTTACTGTAGCCAGGATGGCACTTTTCATTACACAGGGAAAGAGGTGGTACCTATCCAAAAATATAGAAATTGCTCTTGTATTAAGGAAATCTTTGAAGGATCCATCCCACGTTTGATATTTCACTAGATGTATTTGCAGGAACTATCTATTATGTGTTTCCAGAACAGGAAATTGTATCTCTTCAATGAAGATTTTTATACTTGGAGTGATGGATGTTTCAACTAAAATAGCACAAAATAAAATAACCCAGTGATTTAATAATTTTTCCAGATTTCTAAAGCACACTTGGATAACTAATTGTTTTCCAATTATTGTTACACAGTGAGTTTACACAATATGATAAATTCAGAGACAAATTCTTTGTATGTCTAATGACACTTGGCTAATAAAGCTATTCCATTCCATTCCATTCCATTCTAAAAATTAAATCAAAATAAAATTGGTCTTGAGCTTGTCTAGAACAAGGTCTTATAAGAGCATGTTTCATAAAATAGGCTATTGCATTAAGTCATTATATTGGTTCATGTGTTTGGGTACAACATGCTGTACAAATGGAGGAATTATGTTTGTTAACCTGGGCTTGGAATTGACGGTCTTCTGTGTACTCAGACAATGTATGTTTCCAGTTCAACTGGTTCTATAGTTTCTTTACAGGAAGAGCTTTCTGTGGGGTCAAAAAGGTCTTCTCTGGGCCAGGAATCATTGTCCAGATCTACTAGCATCATTACAATGAATATTGTTCTTTCAAAAGCAGTACAGATAATTTCCCACCTGAGTGAAATCTCTCTCCCATTCAATTTTGTCCTCATCAATAATAAACCCTTTGTGAGGATCCAGCCTTCCAACGTGGACCTTGATATAGGAATTATTAGAAAAAGTGACCAAGTTTGTAATATCAAATCCACTTGCAAATTCTCCATGTTCATTAAACATGATTTCATCTCCAGCACTATTGTTGAATGAAATCCTCCTAAGGAATGAATCAAGCTGTAGAAGAAGGAAAAATAATGTAATGGGCTATAAAGGATTGCAATGTCTTTTCTCTTTTTTCCAGCAAATGCCTCCTGTTTGATAGGCAAATCACACAATAAGTCAATGATTAACATAGTAAGTGTTTACTTTGATTCTATTCTTTTTTTTAATTACAAAACTGCACCTCACTTATTTTGGCCATGTCCTGAGGGGGAATTCACTGGAGAAAGCAATTATGTTTGGAAGAGTTAGAGGTAAAAGGAAACCAGGGTGACAAAGAACATGATGGCTGGATTCCATTAAAGCTGACAATAGCCAGAGCAACAAAATAGTGCAAGATTAGAAAATGTGGGGAGACCTGGCCCATAGAATCTCCAAGAGTCAGACATGACTGAATGGATAACATTACCAATGTCATCATTCTTTTCTTTAAATGTTTAAGTAACAAATTCAGGAAGAGCTTTAGGACTTACTCTAATTAGCAAAATTCAGATGAGAAAGTATGTACATGAGATATTTCCTTCATTTAAATAACATCCACACCCTCCCTTTATTTAAATATACATACACACTTTCCATTTATATGTGATCATAAATATCTACAAATAAGAATCTCAAAGAAAGGAGATGAATCTTTTCTAAATGTTTCACTGAGAAACAGATTTATTCACACATGGACTAGCATGATGTAAACATTCTAGAAATATCCCAGTTCCAGGCATTCCAGAAAGAGACTGAAATTTGTCAAATGGACAAATTATCTGGGGAAAATATGGTAGACTCCCCTAGAAATGAAGAAGAACTTTGGGAGATCAGAAACATATCACTGACATATACCTATGAGTTATTGGTATGACTTAAGCCATGGAATGGAAATTGTCCATTTTTTCATGGACTAAACTGCCAGCTGATATCAACAGACTTCCTCTTACTTGTTGTTTAATAAAGGTACTTTGAGCAGGAGGTACATGAGCTTAATACACATGTCTGTCTCTCTATGTCTTTGATTAGCTTCCATTGGGTCTTTGTTAGGCCCTATCTTTACAAGCTTTTCACACTTAAAAACAAGTTAGTGAAAATCTGTACAACATACTTTCTGAAATTCTTTTCATCCCTTTAATAATAGCTCGACTTTTGGTCATGTGAGCTAAAAGAAGGATTTTGTGGAGCATAAAATAGAACTGTTGACAACATTCTGAGCCAATAGGTTTTTTCCCCTCATTTTTTTTCGGGGGGGGGGGGCTAGATTGGGCCAATTTTCAAAAATCTTTTTTATTTTGCTGTTTTATCCCCTCCACGTATAATTTCATTAAGTTCAGTTGTGTTTTCAGAGAGTGATCCTACTGCTGGGCAAGTTAGATAGAATCTTTATTCTCCACTGCATCATTTTCTTCCCAGAATACTGGATTGAAAGAAAAATGAAAAGAATTCCCCATCTTCCTCTATGAAGGTGTGGGTGGATAGTGACTTATGGAATCATAGTTCACAACAGAATTATTAACCATTGCTTTGCCCTAATTAAAATCTTCCCAATAAAAACTCAGTTCTTTAGATTATGCAGTAAAACCATTCGATGCATTAAAAGAATAGATATACCTGTATTCTTAATATAAAGTGCTTTTTGGTTTCTAAAAATAATCAATGACATCCTAAACAGTGCTTGATTTGTTTAACCTTGGGTGAGAGTCACCATGTCATATTGGAATTCAATATAATGCAAACACAAACAAAGAATATAATCATACCAGAGTCTTAGATTTTAAAAAAGCTGACTTTAAAAAATTCAGAGAGAGCTTGGGAAAGATGAAAATCCTAAAGGGGAAAACAAATCAAGAAGCTTGGGAAACTCTGAAAAATATGATCATAAAAGCCCAGTCCAGCACAATACCACTGAAAAAGAAAAACAAGAAATCCAAGAAGAAACCAGCATGGTTGCACAAAAATCTCTCTGATAAATTGAAAGACAAAAAGAACAGTTACAAAAAATGGAAAGAGGGACACATAACTAAGACAGACTATCAGCAGATAGCCCGAAACTGCAAAGATGAAGTCAGGAAAGCAAAGGCTCAGAATGAAAAACAGACTTGCAACAAAAGTCAAAGATAATAAAAAAAATTCTCTCAACATATAAACAACAAGAAAAAAGTCAAGGAAATGGTAGGTCCACTTAAGAGAGAGAATGGCAAGGAAGTAGCAGGCAATAGAGAGAAAGCAAAGCTGCTTAACTCATTCTTTACATCAGTCTTCACACAAAAAGAAACAATAGCCCAACCTACCAAAAACCTAACTGAAAAAGAAAGACTAGAAATAAAAATTAAAATAAGCAAGGACATGGTTAAAGAACACCTATCTGATCTTGATGAATATAAATAACCAGGACCTGATTGATTGCATCCTAAAGTTCTGAAGGAACTGGCAGATGTCATCTCAGAAGCATTGTACCATATCTTTCAAAAACCCTGGAGCATCAGGAAACTACCAGAGGTCTGGAAAAGAACTGATGTGGTTCCCATCTTCAAAAAAAGGAAAAAGAAAAACAAACCCGGGAAACTACAGACCAATCAGCCTAACATCAATAATCAAAAAGCAGATCTGCAAACACCTAGAAATAAATAAAGTTATAACTAGAAATCAGTATGGGTTTGTTAAAAACAGATGATGCCAAACCAATCTTATTTCATTCTTTGACAAAGTGACTAAATTAGTAGACCAATGAAATGCTGTGGACATGGTATACTTAGATTTCAACAAGGCATTTGGCAAAGTAGACCACAACTTACTTCTTGGTAATCTAGAAAAAGGTGGAATAGACAGCATCCCCTCCAGATGGAATTGTAACTGGCTGACAAACCATACGCAATGAGTCATCCTTAATGGTACTACATCTACATGGAGGGAAGTAAGCAGCGGGGTGCCACAAGGTTCTGTCTTAGGCCCAGTACTTGTCAATATCTTCATAAATGACTGAAAAGAGGGAATATAGGGGGAACTCATCAAATTTGCAGATAACACTGATCTGGCTGGAATAGCCAACATCCCAGAAGACAAGCTCAGGATCCAAAAAGATCTTGACAGACTTGAATAATGGGCCCTATACAACAAAATGAAATTCAACGTAGAGAAAAGTAAAGTCTTAGGCAAGAAAAACCAAAAGTACACATACAGATTAGGTGAAATCTGGCTTAATAGCAGTACTTGTGAAAGGGATCTTGGAGTCCTAGTGGACAATCAATTAAATATGAGTCAGTAGTGTGTGGCGACAGCCAAAAAGCCAATGCAATCCTAAATTGCATCAAGAGAGGAATTGAATCAAGATCATGTAAGGTACTAATACCACTCTATAAAGCCTTAGTAAGACCACACCTACAATACTGCATCCAGTTTTGGTCACCACACTCTAAAAAGATGTTGAGACTCTAGAAAGAGCATAGAGAAGAGGATCAAAGATGATTAGGGGTCTGGAGGCTAAAACATATGAAGAACAGTTGCAAGAATTGGGCATGGTTAGTCTAGTGAAGAGAAGGACCAGGGGTGACATGATACCAGTGTCCAAGATTTGAGGGTCTGTCATAGAGAGGAGGGGATCAACCTATTTTTAAAAGTGCTGAAAACCAGACAAGAAACAATGGATGGAAACTGATCAAGGAGAGATTCAACCTAGAAATAAGGAGAAATTTTCTGACAGTGGGAATAATCAACCAATGGAAGAGCTTGCCCTCAGAAATCGTATAGAGTCTCCTGCTTGAGTAGGGGATTGGACTAGATGATCTACAAGATCCCTTCCAACTCTGTTATTCTGTATCTGAAAGACTTGCTTAAGTTGAGATCAACACACATTGAAAAGGACTAAGGGTGATATGATAGCAGTATTCCAATATCTAAGGTACTGCCACAAAGAAGAGGGGGTCAACATATGTACTCTCCAAAGCACCTGAGAGCTGGACAAGAAGCAATGGATGGAAACTAATCCTAGAAATAAGGAGAAAATTTGTGACAGTTAGAACAATTAATTACTGGCATGACTTGCTTTCAGAAGTTGTGGGTGCTCCAATATTGGATATTTTTAAGAAGAGATTGGACAACCATTTGTCTGAAATGTTGCAGGGTTTCCTGCTTGAGCAGGGGGTTGGACTAGATTTCCAAAGTCCCTTCCAACTCTGTTATTCTGTTATTTACAAGTCCATTCAGGCTTCTGGAAACACTATGGAGGTCTTTTGTGTTTTAGAATCTACCATATAATTTTTGGATCTTCTGGTGAGCTCCCAATTAAAGCACCAAGTGGATATGACCCTACCTAACATCCAAGAACAGAAAAAGTCAGCTGGATCTTGTCAATATTTTTAAATACTGCCTTTGGTCATTCAAATAATGTTACCTGCCAAGGTTTCATATTGTGAGGTGACAGTCTGCCTCCATGCTGTGCTGGTCGGTCCTTGATTTTGGTTGAGTCCATTGCATGTAAGGTATGAGCCAATGCATAGACAGCATTATAGATACTATAACCATGACCTAGCATGCTCATTTCAAAGAATGGTGCAGGAAGATCCTTTAAAGTTTCCTTTCCAGTACATGGTTTAAAGACGAGATTTAAGAGATTCATTTTGAAAAGGAAACAGTTGAATGCTTGTTGCCAGAATTCATGGATAAAACCATCTTTTTCTTCCCAAAAAGGATTTACAGTCTCAAGAAATTGTTGAAAACCTTTAATTTGCTTTGAGTGAATATTGAAAGAAAGAGCTCCATGGAAGATTTGGGGTTTAACATCAAGAATCTTTTGAAAGTGAAATAAGGTGAAATCAATTTGGGCTGTAGTAACCCATACCCTTTTTGGACTGTATTTCCCTTTTTCCCATGGAAATATGTAATGCATGGTCTGACTTGTTTGTATAGCAACTGTCAACCAAATAATGGATGCAGTTTCTCCATGAACAATGACAACTTTAGCTGTACTGAACATAAAATTCTTTAAAATGTCAATTCTGTCAAAGATCATTGTATCTATTTTATCAAAAAAATAGATATGTTTTGTCAACCTTTCTGAGAAAGCTGGACAGATTCCTTTTTGTAAAAGTATTTGTTCAACAGTTCGTAAGAAATAAGTTCCACTCTCATCATCTGTAGCCATGAGTCCAATCCACCACCATTGGAAATACAGAAGCAATTGGACAAGTCCTTGATACTGAAGTAATTCACTGGGAACCATGCGGAGAAAAGTAGCAGAATGGATCTGATCATTGGATACTGGTTCAAATGAGCCATATGAAATCTTCTCAAAAGAAAAAAAAAGTGAAAACTTCAGAGTTCAAGCAGGGATTCTATTTTGTTATTTATTACAAATTATTGCTTCATTGATTGATTTAAGCACATCTTTTCTTATTCAGAAATGCCAGTACAAGTATGTTGATGAAGACTCTCAGTCATCCAGACAAAGGTGTCTGAAGGTTGAATAATGGCAATTAAACAAATTATTGTTAGCTTGAGTCATTTTGCTGCTCATCCAGTAGTTTGCTCTTGTTTTCTTCCTAGCGTGACTGGCCCAAAATCATCCAGCTGGCTTCATTTCAAAAAAGGATTAGAAATCCTATCACTAGGTTTCCACCCTGGTGCTTTAACTGCTACAACAAACTGGCTCCTAATATTCCAATTAGTCATGCCTAATTTAAATCATAGTATGACACCATCCGAAACTAGTGCATGCATTTATGAATATGATAATGTAAATACTGAAATCAATTCAGCTCTTTTTGTTTACACCTTATCACATCACTCTAAACTAAAAGACCATTATACTGCTATACTGTTAACGAAGGGGAAGAATTAATAAAAATGGAGATATTCTCATTTATTACCTGTGGAATCTTATAAAGATACAAGATATCTGCCATGCGGGAGGTTGTATCAGAGGCAAATCCCCCAATAACTCCTATTACATTTTTTGGTCCACCACATTTGTAGTTTGGAATGAACTTTTGGAATGAAGTGAAGAGCAGGTCCAAAATGGTGCGGTAAATCATCTTTGAATCACCGTAGCTGTCAAAGATGTGGAACCCAAGAGTAACGTTGGGTAAAATCTTGGGATTGTTATTGATCTCATCAATAGCAAAGACCAAGGCTAGGATATGCTGGTAGAACTTGGTCACCACTCTGGAAATGGAGGACATTTTGGTTAGATGATAGTTTTAAACAGCACACAAAATCAATATGTTTAGGACATACTGATGTAGCTTTGAATGGAGAATTGTATGTGCCTTAGTATACAAAAGGAACACAATTTAAGTAAAGAATCAAATTAGCATCCTTTTTGAAAATGTATTGTGATAATCATGGATGGATTGTAGCTTCAGGCTTTCATGCCATATCATGAAACATGTTTGGATAACTTTTTAACCAAAGTAATCTTTGATTTCTGAGAGTTGTTCTCAGCAGCAGTTGTAAAAACAGAATTTTAATTCCACTTTCTTCCTTTTGATAGCTTGGTTCTTCATGATTGTTTTGATTATACTGAGGATCAGTCATCCAAGCTGGGTTGTCCAAATAATTTTATTCATAACTGGCAAAATGTCTAAAGCCATTACTAAGAAATAATCTCAACAGGATCAAATCTATACATGTGCATAGAAACCTATAACAGTATCGCTTATATATGAATATAAGGACTAATAAAAGAATCAGTATAGGAAAAAAATAGAGCAAACAAAAGTTTGATTACTGATGACAACATTTGAACTCTGTACTTCTGATCTTTAGCAAAAGGTGTAATATGAAGAAATTTAAACCCAGTATATGTGGTCGTGATCATTAAGCATCTTATTTTATGATGGTTTTCCAATATACTCTATACCTCATTTTTTCCTACTTTCAGATCATGTATTCCTTACAAAGTTCAAAATAATATGTGTGTTATATCTCTTTATAAATGTAACTCTGGCATAATAAAGTCTGTTCTTCCATTTTCTCCTTCTATAAATGGAAGACTAAAAAACTATGCATTAGAACTGGAAGTCAGGAAGGAGACATAGCGATATGTGCAGATTTCGTGTTATTGTGTCCTTTTTGAATAATATTCTTCTATGTCCTAAAGTAGACCACAGCTGAATTTCCAAGTATTCGGTTGATAATATGACAAGATTCTCTTCACAGTGAAGCTTGAACATTTCATTTGTTGCTTATTTCAACAAATGGCTATTGTTTATTTTGATCCATTCAGCCATCCATCCATCCATCTACTCATCCATCCATCCTTTCAGAATTAAATACTTTGTAAACAATCAAATAAACATGAAAAGCCCACAGTAAAATAATATGTATTTTTATAAACTAGTGTCTATCGTGGGGGTTATGAAAACCACTTACATCGGGATGTTAAGTGGCTCCTGAGAAGGGTGTTTGTTAAAGAAAATGTTGAAGAAGACGTAATGGATATGAGACACCATCCCACCAATGAGGAAATCACCTGGTTCATACCATTCATGGGGGATGTAGAGAGGATCTTGTCTAGTACATGAAAAGGCATGCAACATGTTCACTCCATTGGGGAGAAATAATAGAAAAAACAGAACCAGCATCATTCCCATTCTGAAGACCATGTTCCCTCTGCACATTAACCCTTCCATTTCTCTCTACTACATTATTGCGACTGTTGACCAGATTTCAATTTGAGTGATCAAATGGCTGACGGCTTTATTTCCCAGAGGATCTTGTATTGTTTCTATCAGAACATCTTGCTTTCAGAAGTTGTGGTTGCTCCATCACTGGAGGCTTTTAAGAAGAGACTGAACAGCCAGCTGTCTGAAATGGTATAGGGTCTCCTGCTTGAGCAGGGAGTTGGACTAGAAGACCTCCAACGTCCCTTCTAACTCTGATATTGTATGTTCTACTGTATGTTCTTTCTCTCCCTCAAATTACAAAAGTTGGCTTTGAAGGTTAACTGAGAATCAATATTTGAATCCGATTTGTGTATTATGAAAGAGAAGCTGGCCATAATAACAGAGCCTTCCTATTTTCTTGTCTTTTGACAGAATACCAGGGTGTATATAAAACATTCAGATTTAATTGATTCCTCTTCTGGAAGACCTCTGGAGGTTTTAGCATAGAATATTATAGTGATTTCCATAGTTGTATGGAAGGTAATAGAACTGTTAAGGCATCAGTTGCATAAATTCTATTGGGACTTGAACACTGTTAAATACACTGATGACTCCAAAATGGGAATAGAAGTTATAAAAAATTCAATTAAATAATCATGGAAATCACCAGCTCCAAATTTCCCCCTACCATTGCAAAGCAACAAAAGACAAAAACCAAATCACCAGCTCAGAGGTTGCAGTGAAAAGCCATTTCTATGGTGCTAACTAGAAAATGGATAGAATCAATCAGTGGGGACAAATTTGACTCAGAGACAGCTTGACTCCATATATATATATTCATTCGTTTAATGACAGTTTAAAGTTATGAAGGCAGTGAATTATTACCATTTTTCACACTTATAAGCATTGCGGGATCCCTATGGTGATGTGATCAAAATTCACACATTTGGTGACTGGCTCATGTTTATGACAGTTGCAGTGTCCCAGTGTAATGTGATCATCTTTTGCGACCTTCTGACAAGCAAAGTCAATGGACTCACTTAACAATTGTGGCAAGAGAAGTCGTAAAATGGGACAAAAGTCATTTAATAACTTTCTTGCTTTGCAACAGAAATTTGGGGCTCAAATGTGGTTATAAATCAAGGATTACCTGTTTGGGAACTAGGCAGGACCATGGAATTCTAGCTTTGACTTTGCCTCAAGCTACTTAACCAAAATGTCATTGAAATGTATCTTCTCCCATATTGTTTGCCCAACACATCAAATACTTTAAAAAGAATATTAGGTTCATATGTCTGAGAGCAAATAAACTGTAGTTTATTTGAAATAGTTATCAATTATTGATTGATTGATTGATTAACATACGGCAGTTGAGAACAACTGGTTATATAGTGTCAGCCCTTAGTGACTACATTCAGGAGGATCTGTGTCTAGCCTGGTTCTTCAGGTCTTCCAATGACACCCCTATCACCACTGTAAAAGAGTCCATCCATCTTGCTGCTGGTCAGCCTCTTCCTCTGTTCACAACAGAACAGAATAACTGAGTTGGAAGGGACCTTGGAAGTCTTCTAGTCCAAACCCCTCTCAATTTCATTTTTGACAAATGGCCATCCAGTTCCTTCTTAAAAGCCTCCATTGTTGGAGTACCCACAACTTCTGAAGGCAAGTTGTTCCACTGGTTGAATGTTCTTTCTCTCAGGAAGTTTCTCCTTAATTCCAGGTTGCTTCTTTCCTTGATTAGTTTCCATCTATTGTTTCTTGTATTGCTTTCTGGTGCTTTGGAAAATAGGTTGATGCCTTCTTCTTCGTGGCAAACCCTTAAATATTGGAACACCACTATCATGTTACCCCAAAGTCACTTTTTTTCTTGTTTAATTTCCATCCATTGTTTCTTTTCTTGCCTTTTGCTGCTTTGGAAAATGGTTTGGCCTCCTCGTCTTTGTAGGACCTCCTCTAATATTCAGTTTGGAGATTTGATTAGAAAGCTATTAATCTAACCAGGTACATAAAAAGATTTGCAATCAGTGATCTACAACATATTGACTCACTTTGAGGCTTCAATTCAACTACTCTTAGCATTTTGAATGGAGAAATTATTTTAGGTTGGAGCAATGCAATGTATTACGTTTCATCAAGAGTGATTTGCATATAAGTAGTTCTCAACCTATGACCACAATTGAGCCCAAAATTTATGTTGCTAAGTGAGAAAGACGTTAAATGAGTTTTGCCCTATTTTACAACTTTTTTTGCTACAGTTGTTAAGTGAATCACAGTAATTGTTAAGCTAGTAACATGGCAGTTAAGTGAATCTGACTTCCCTATTGACTTTGCTTGTCAGAAGGCCACAAAAGGGGATCACAGGATCCTGGGACATTGCACCTGTTATAAACATGAACCAATTGTCAAGAATTCAAATTTTGATCAAGTGACCACATGGAAGCTGCAATGGTCATAAGTGTGAAAACAGTCATAAATCACTTTTCTCAGTGCCATTGTAACTTTGAATGGTCATTAAAGAAATAATTGTAAGTTGAGGACTACCTATACTTCTTAATCTAGTCTCCCAGGGAATTGCAAACCACCAATATCTGAAAGACTACCTTCCTTCCACTCTACAAGATTTTACCTTATATGTCTGTCCTGAATAGTTTATAGAGATGTTGCTGTGAAACATGATCTTGTGTTTCTCCACACATTGTATGGAATACTTTGTGTGTTTTGTCATGAAGAAGAATTATAAGATGAGAAGGACAAAGGACGAGGGGTAACATGATAGCAGTCTTCCAATATCTCAGGGATTGCCACAAAGAAGAGGGAGGAGTCAAGCTATTCTCCAAAGCACCTGAAGGCAGGACAAGAAGCAATGGATGGAAACTAACCAAAGAGAGAAGCCACCTAGAACTAAGGAGAAATTTCCTGACAGTTAGAACAACTAATCAGTGGAACAACCTGCCTCTAAAGGCTGTGAATGCTCCAACACTGGACATTTTAAAGAAGAGATAGATACCCTCTGTTGCAGAGAGTTTTATTATAATTTATTATAACGTTTTATTAAAAAGCAGAATTCGCTGCACCAGATGGATAGAGGGACTAGATTGATCTAGGATTTAAATTGGGATGAAACTTTAGTAGGGTGGGGAAAATAAGAAAGACAGGCTGTTTATGCAGATACAAATTACATGTGAGATGGATTACAAGTGCCATTATTTAACACTTGTAATGTGTTAAAAAACCCCACTATTTTCAAAGTCTCTATGGATTATCAGTTGAATTTTGGGGTGGCTTCAAGGACCATATGCAACATTTAGAATCAGAATAGAATTGGAAGGAACCATGAAGGTCTTCTAGTCCAACTCACTGCTTAAGCAGGAGGCCCTATACCATTTCAGGCAAGTGGCTATCCAGTCTCTTCTTTAAAATCTCCAATTCTGGAGCACCCACAACCTCTGAAGGCAATCTTTCCACTGCTTAATTGTTCTCATTGTTAGAAAATGTCTCCTTATTTCCAGGTTGCTTCTCTCCTTGATTAGTTTCCATTCATAGTTTCTTGTCTTGCCTTCTAATGTTTTGGAAAATAAGGTGACACCCGCCCCCATTCTTTGTGGTAGTCTCTAAAATACTGGAACACTGCTATCATGTCATCCATAGTCAAGCAACATTGTGTCATCTCTAACCAACCAACATCATGTCACCCTAATAAAAAAAAATATGGTTACTTGATTATTTATATTTTATAAATATAATTCTAGGATTGCCCAATTTTAGAACAACTCTGTGTTCTTACAAATTAAAAAAGAAAGAAATATCATAATATCATGAAAGATGATAATTGGCCAGAAGGAACAATAAAATCCTTTGCTGTGCCTTTTCTAGAAATGTGATAATCTTTGCTTAAACACAAAACAAATCAAGCATAAATGTTGCTATTTTTATTCTTAAAAGGCAGAGTACTACAGTATTAATCAAAATACTTTAAAATGAGAATTTGTACTTCAAGAGTGAGAAAGAGAATGGGGAATAGATAGAGAAATGCATAATAATAGATAGAAAGTATTTATTTCTCAGATTGTATTGAGCTTTGCCGCACCATTCTATACAAGCACAGACTTCAAAAGTTATTTTCGGTCTTGTTGGTTCTTATTAATTGTCCTTTGCTGTTTAGATCAGGCCTCAAAATGATGATATAACATTTTGGAACAAAGATGCAACCCAGTAATCCAGTGCTGGAAGCCAAAACGGAGAAGATCTCCACAGCCACCATGTATTTCCCTTTGATACTTAGATAAGTTGGGACAAAAGACAACCAGATGCTGCAAAAGACCAACATGCTGAAGGTGATAAATTTGGCTTCGTTAAATGTGTCTGGCAATTTCCGAGCAAAGAAAGCTACCATGAAGCTGATGACAGCCAGAAAACCCATGTAGCCCAGAATATAATAAAACATGTTGCCTGATCCTTCATTACATTCCATTACAATTTCTTCAGGCAGAGTTGTCATATCTAAATCTAGAAATGGAGGATCAGTACCCAGCCATATCACACAAATACATGTTTGAATAAGCGAGCCACACAAAACAATAGCAAATGCAAATCTTTTCCCTACCCATTTCCTTATTCCAGCTCCTGGTTTAGTAGCCATGAAAGCAAGAACCACTATGATTGTTTTGGCCAGGACAGAAGAAACAGCCACTGAGAAGATGATCCCAAATGTAGTTTGTCGGAAAAGGCAAGTCAGTAACTGGGGGCAGCCGATGAACAACAGAGAACAGAGAAAGCAGAGAAGGAGTGAAATAAGGAGAACGTAAGTGAGAATTTGGTTGTTAGCTTTGACAATGGGAGTCTTCCGGTGCTTAATAAAGATTCCAAGCACCAAGACTGTGGTTGTAGAAAGAGCAAGAGCCACAACAGACAAACCTATGCCTAGAGGATCAAGATAACTCAGGTAATTTACTTCCTTGGAAAGGCATTGATTTTTTTCTTTGTTAGGATATTGATCTTCAGGGCATTTGAAGCAGTCATTCATATCTTGGAGAAAGAGATAGAAACAGAGAGGACATAAAATGGTGCTATTATCCTTGTAGATTTGATCTAGATTTTCTCATACTGTGAAACAATGTTATTAGTTATAATACAATGTAATTAATAATTAGGGAAATTCCAAAATATTCTTTTAATTTAGGACAGAACCTAGGGTCCTTTCAAGTGGAATCCTTCTGATGAGCTTTTCCTGAAATTCCCAAACTGGTTTTTAGTGGATAAATTGGTTGCAGTTGGCAATTAATTAATTAGGTAACTAATTGATATAAAAGAAAACATTAATAAAAAAAAGAAAACACTAATCCAGTTTTCATTGAAAAACATTGCCAACCCTTTATGCATTTCCAACCCTCCATTGCATAGGAAAAAATGAATTCTACTAAGAATCTGAATTCTAGGGCAGTTGAGATAGGAGCTATCATTAATAAAATGTGAAAACATTTAACATTCTAGCTATCAGTTGTTTCATCCTCCCAGTGTTCCATTGATTATTGCCTCTGATTACAGGGCACACTGATCCACAAAATGAAAGTAGCCTGGTGCATTAGGCCAATTCTGCTTACATGATAATTCAGTGTATTTGGATAAACTATGATGATGTCACACATCAAGGAAGCAAATTATATAATTTGCAACAGTCACACCAGGTCATTTTAATGACAGTCAATATGAAATTTGCACCACTTGGACAAACGGTTGACTCCAATCCTACAGGTCTTTAGGAAGGTGGATAAGATATTATTTCCCCCCCAAGTTCTGGGATCCCAATGTGAGAGTTATAGAAGTTTTCATTTTTCTTTATCATTTTATTGCTTGATATGCTTTGATGTCTTATGTTATTCTGTTCCAATTATTTCATGATTTTTGTCTTTTGTACACTGTTCAGAGTTACATAGTTTGGGGGGATGAGAAGCAGAGTCACTTAAGTTAAGAACCAATAAAATTATATAATAAATAAATTTGGACCCAATACATATCTCTGTCTAACTCCTCTCGCTACTGCTATTTTTTTTAGTGATATATCCTTGATTATTGCACCTGGTATTCAATGTTATATTTTCATGAATATTAATGAGCAGCAGAAACAAACTTTTGTCTATTGTAGGGTATTCAAATTTACACTGCCGTTTAGATCTAAATCTGGTATCAAAAGCTGACCTAAAGTAGATGTTGTAGCACCATAGCATGGTCTAACATTGATTGGCCTGCTCTAAACCCAGCATGTTCATCCCTCCAAGTGTCTTCAAATACAAACCAGTCACTTAATTTATCTTGTAGATGTTTAGCCTATATTTTGTTGATCAGACTTAATGAACTATTTGGTCAAAGTTAGATGGATCATGTCTTTTGACCAAATCCCAGGTTTTGGGTATAATGGAACAGCAAGTGAAGCTAACAATCTATTGCTGTGAAAAGTGAAGCTAACAATCTATTGCTGTGAAAAATGAAAACCCCCATTCCAAATTATTTTTTTATTACTTCACATGTACCTTAATAAAATCTGAATTAGGGGCTTTCCCACATTTCAGCTGTTTAATTGTATTCCTGAATATGGGGGCCAATTGGGAAGAGAGATCACATCCAGCTCCAGATTCAGCAATAACTTTTCAGGTATAGAAGCAGAATGAACTTTGATTATTTATGAAGCATTTTTTCACCATACATTCTTATAGCTCATATCAAAAGTATAGCATAACAGGGGAAGTATTGGTAAATCTTCCTCTTCCAATCATGCTGTACAATAAAACTAAATTTATGACATATATGTTTTATTTGTAGTTTATAGTATGGTGTTCCCTACCTGTCTGGTTGGAAATCTTTCCTGATGGACATTCAGCACAACCATAGCAGCAAAATGGTTCCCCTTCTTTGCTTTGTCTGCTATAGCCTGGAAGACAGCGGTGGTTACACAGAGACAAGGGCACAACCTACCCATGGGAAAGAAAAATCCATTTATCCACATTTGTTATTTAGTTAAGCTTCAACGTGGTGTTGTACTCAAATCGTGGTATTATGGACTTTAGGATGATTTTGTGCCCAAAATATTGTTAACCCATGGAGGATGAGAACCTTCCCTCCCAGATTGTAGGTATTGGTTTTGAATTCTATCAGATGCTATGGATAGAAGCAACACTGGTTGAATACTTCATTCTAGCCTTCTTTAACTTGGTAAGGAAATTGATAAACAGGTATCAGCATAAATTCCCAGGGTTTTCAGAAATCTCTGAAAACTTACTTATTGAGAAATGTATGGACTTTGTTGTCCCAAAAGTGTTTTTTTTCTCCAAAAGGCAATAGGGCTTTATTTGGTTTTTTTCTTTGAAAATATTTTGCTTCTCATCCAAGAAGCTTCTTTGGAATAACCATGACCTGGATGATTGAGAACCCCCATGGACATTATGGACTTTCTTACTCTCTCTCTCTCTCTCTCTCTTTTTTAAACTACCGTTGGTTTTGAGATATCTACAGCTAATACCTCTGAATATATAATTAACATCTTTTTGACATCTTTCTGTAGCCCCAAGAACTAGATGTTTTGAAATGCTTTCTGTTATTTCTTATATTTATATTCCACCTTTAAAGTGGTGTACAAAATCATCTTTTCCCCCTGCAGCAACAACACTGCAAAGTAGGACAAACTGAAAGATAGTGTCTGTCTCCAAGTCACCCATGGCTGAGAGTGGATTTGAATCTGGCTCTCTCAAATTTTAGTTCAAACTCTTCATCGTATATCATACTTTTACATTTTCACATGATTTATTCACAAGCATTTTGTTCAAAGATAGTGTTATAACCCATGGACTCATGAGGAAACTGATGTGATGGAATGTGCACCTGAAGAAGTAGTGGGGGCTAGGAGAGTTTTGGCAACACAGAGTTTTCTCAGAGAGAGGCCTGGATTAAGTCCTGAGTTGAATAGGGGAAATTAAAGTAAATAACAACAACAACAACAACAACAACAATAACAACAATAACAACAACAACAACAATAACAATAATAATAAAGTTGGAAGGGACCTTGAAGGTCATGTAGTCCAATCTCCTGCTCAGGCAGGAAACCCTATACCATTTCAGACAAATGGCTATCCAGTTTCTTCTTAAAAACTTCCAGCGTTGGGGCATTCACAGCTTTTGGAGGCAGGTTGTAAGTAAACTCACGCTAGAATCTCTCATGATATATCTAATAAGTTAGAAATAGCTTTAGTTTGCCAAGATTCTGTCTATTATATGTAAGCAAATAAAGCATTGAACTTGATTGAATATTGCTGTGTCCTCTCTGATCTTGAACCTGAGTCTAGGTTTGGGGGATCTCAACTTGTTTGCTCCACATTTACTTTTATTTACTTTTTATTTATCAAGCTACTTGTTTTGTGCCCCTCCTTGGCATTTCATTCAACTCATGGTATCTTATGTCCATCATTTAGTTCTGTAATGATATTTTCTTATTTGACTTAACCAATCAGAGGAGAGCTGCAAGGATTTATGAAATGGGGAAATGTGTTCCTTACAATTCCCATAGCTGACTGTTACCCTTAATGAGGATGAATGTGACTCAAACATGCATGAGGTTTAGTGAAGATGCAAAATTTATATCTTGGTGTTTAGTCCTACCTCTCCAAATGTATAATGCCAGGTGATAATCTTCTCATTAATAGACAACTGTTTGTCCCATGGAGCTTGAGGATCCATTTTCCCGACTTTCACTTTTAAGAAAGATTGATTTGGAAAAGTTATCCAGTTGATAATATCAAATCTACCTACTAATTCATCATTCTCATTAAAAAACAAGGTGTCTCCAGCAGAGTTGTTAAATGAGATCTCCTTCAGAAAAGGGTGAATCTTTAGGTAAAGAAAATCAAGGGTAAGTTTCACAAAATTGTATTTACCTGTTTATTTCTTAACTACAGTACAGTACCATCCACAGTAGCATCCACTTTTAAAACATCTCAACAGTGTGCAATAGATGTACCCGCTGAAAATCAAGGCACTTAAATTTATAATTCAGAAGGACAAAGGAGAAAAGTAGCAATAATAATTAAAATTAGCAATATAAGCAATTAAAGACTGGTATATAAGTTTAGGTGATTCAACAACAGCTCCAAAACCAGTTCTGTCCTCTGAGTCTGAAAACTGTTAAGTAGCAAGCTAGTGGTAGAGTGCCTACATGTTTCAGGTTTCATACACAAGTTTATTTCTCATCCATGATCGAATAGTGGATTCACTCTGTTTATTTTGTATCAGCCAGGCCTTATTGAGGAGTAAAACTAGATTCTCTGAGAGACTGAATCTCTTCTTCAAGATCTAACTGCTGACAAGGCCTCTGAAAAGGGGTAGAATCATTAAATTATTCATCTCTGTTCCATTGGAATGACTTACTATCTGTGTCTACTATTTGGCCTATCTGTGCCAAATTGTCTATTATCCGCCAAGTCATGACACAAATTAAGAAGTATGGGACAAAGGTTAAGAAGTATGATGACATTGGGACCCATATATTGTCATTTGATGGCATTTGCAGATTGTTGTAGGTGCCTATGCTAGGAATGCAAATTATTTATTTTAGATTTAATTACTTTTCATCCCACTATAACCTCATGAAGGAAACTAACTTTGAAGGAAAAGATGTTGCAGAGAAACAGTAGATGGGAAAAAATTATCCCTTTCAGTTTGGGTAGTTTGTCCGTACTCGAATGAACAGGTGTATATTCAACTGCTTTTTGTATAATGACTTAGAGTTTAATGACTGAACCACAGTCCTACTTGGTAGGAATAACACATATTCTACATCCTAAATTGCTATCTACTCATTAAAAAGGTAGGCTTGCTTAATGTGAAGGACATTACCTGAAAATGTTGTAATTTTGAAGACTCAACATAGTGTTCATCAATCCCCAATCTGTATTTACTTCTGGATGAATATATAGCATGGAAAGCATGAGCCACAGCATAGATTGCATTGTAGATGCTGTAGCTTTGACTAGTCATCTGCATTTCAAAATGAGGTCCAGGAATGTTCTCCAGCTGCTCATTTCCAGTGCAGGATGTCAGTTGATTCTCCCCTGCACCTGCATCTTCAAATACACAGACAAATGCTTGTTCCCAGAAAAGCTTGACAAAGCCATCCGCTTCAGAACGTGGATTCAAATACTGAAGGAAATTTTGGAAATCCTTCACTTCCTTAGAATGAATTGCAAATGATAAGGCTCCATGGAAGATCTGTATACTTATATGTCTGTGATATGTTTCAGATGAGAAATCCCAAGGAGCAGTCACAATCCACACTTTGTCAACAGGATGTAATTCAAAATTGTCAACCATGAACTCTAACCAATGAATAGCCAACATGGCGTGTGTATCTGCCTTTGCAATAACTACACTGGCATTTGACTTATGGAGAGATAGAACTATATTCTTTAATTGATTGACCAGTTTATCCAGGTGAAAAAAATACTCATGTTTATGTGTTCTCTCTGTGAAGGCTATACAGATCTCTCTCTCAAAAAGCAGATGTGTTAAGGTCTGCACAAATATTTCCCCTTTCTCATCTCCTAGGGCAATGATCCCAACCCATTTTCCACTGAAAATGCAACAGAAGCTGGACAAGTCCATTCAACTGATAAGTTTCACTAGGAGTCATCTGGTATATGAAAGCAAGTTGATATTTTTCTCTTACTGCTGGAGAAAAGAAGTTATAGGTGACCTAGAAAAGATTAGAGAGATTTTCATCATTGGGTTAGCAGAGTTTATCCATTTGTTTGATACCTATATATATATTTATCTCATTTTCAAGAATTTCAGACATTTTTAAAGAAAGGCAATGAAGACAATATGATGTATCATATGATGTTGGACTGGTAGTGAAGAGATCTAGGTTCTAATTCCTCATCAGTAATCAACATTTATTGGTAACTTTGGGACAATTGTTCTTTTTAGTCAATCTACTTTACAGGGTTGGTACTAGGGGTGGGAAGGTTAGAAATGTGAAATTCTAGAAAAGGTGGAATATATAGTCAACAATGCACGCAGAATGTCATCCCATTTTAAACTTTTATTCCTATTTTAACTGAGCATTGGACCAAAAGACCTTGTATCAAAAAAGTTTCTTTAATATGTAGTTCCAAAATGGAAGAGGAATGAGAACAATAGAATTTGTTTCACTTAGGGGGATCTCAGACTTGTTTTCCCTACTAGATTTACCAGTTTCTTTCAATTTTCTTTTTCCTTTTAAATCATTTTAATCTCCAGAATTCTGAAATTCTAATCTCCTTTCAAGGGGATTTTATATTATGTTATTAGAGAAAGATCAATGCTGGATCTTGTTAAGTCCCATGAAATAGCTGAATACTTCCAGTTGATCTGAGGGCTATCCAGAGTTGGCATGGTATGAGCTGATGGTATGAGCTGATGTCATTTGAGTGCGATTTCAGGTGGTTTAAGATTTAAGGGGTGAATTAGATGTTTTAAGTATCTCCAAGTCTCAATGCATCCCTTTTAAACTGAGAGCTTCTGCACTGGAGACAAAATTCTTTGTGGGTGTCATCACACTTAGCCAAATAAAGATTCTATTCTATTCTATTCTATTCTATTCTATTCTATTCTATTCTATTCTATTCTATTCTATTCTCTGTTCTGTTTTACACTCTACTCTACTTTATTCTTCTCTACTCTATTCTAAAAACTCAGCCCAAATTTTGAAAATTGTAAAATGGAAACCAAGTTTTGTTCCCACCCATTCCAGGCTCACGTAGTTCCTCATTTTCTAGAAGAAAATTCAGGTGCATTGCCACAGCAACTCTAGCTTGTGTTCCATAGTTAGTTGTGTTCAGATACATATATTATCTCTGTAGCCATCAGGACAAGAAGCACTTAGTAGTAGATATTGTTCATCAGCTTAGCTAATCCCTTAATGATGGTGAGTAATCTTACAACTCATGATAGTGAATTTTATCATTTAAAAGACATATGAATAGAAGTTACTATATTCAGATCTTAACATGTTTCCTTAAGGAGCAACCCACCAGTCAGCAAGGATGGTCATGCTGAATCTGAAACATCCTGTTTTCTTCGAATCCAATATTGCACACTTTTATATAGAAACTATTTTTGTAAAGGCAAAGAAAAAAAATCTATACTGTTGTATTGTACCTGGAATCTCAGGGGAGACCATTATATATTGTATAATATATTTTGTAAGATTAGGCATTGTTTTCCCAATCTCTACCAAATTTGCTGGAAAGATATCATATTAATGTTTAGTATTCTTGCCTAAAGATGCCATTCAAATGTTCCTGATCATCACTTTCGTAAACTATCAAAAATGGAATGGAGTGAAATGGCATGGCATGGCATAGCATGGCATGGCATGGCATGGAAAGGAAGGAAGGAAGTCTTGTCATTTTCTCATTTCACAAGTTTGATAGGTAAATAGTGAAATAGAAAGAGGGATAGATGGATACATACAATTTCCCAAAGTAGCCTGCAATTCTTGCTTACTTTGACAGTTTCCCACCTAAGTCTTGACAAGGTCCAGCTCTGTTTAGCTTTTGAGAGCTAACAAAATTCACTGAGTGCTGCCAGGAGTAAGTGACTCTAGTTTTTAGCTGGCACACCAGCTTTATTATTGCATTTTTTTCCAAGAGTTTGATAGGTAGCTAGATAGTGAGATAAAAAGAGAGTGTTGGATGGATACAATTTCCCAAAGTAGTTTACAACCCTTGCATATTTGACAATTTTCCACTCATGTCTTAACAAAGTCCAACTCTGTTTGGCTTTTGAAAGCTAACAAAATTCACTGAGCGCTTCCAAGGCGGAATGTTTTCTATTTTTCAATCTCTCTTAAATCTCCCTGTCAAGTGAACAAACAAATAAATTTGAATTACCATAATAATATTATTTTCAACTTATTACACTCTGGTTTCTCTCAAGTGGACTTTTTATTTTCACACTGGTTATTTTCATTTTACTGATAGAAACTTTCATTATCTCTACCATCTTACCTGGGAAATTTTGTAGAGAGTTAAGATGGAGGCCATATGTAAAGTGATTTCAGAATCAAGGCCCCCAATGGCTGCTATCAGATTCCTTTCAACATCACACTTGTAATTGGGGACAGTCTTGTTATGGCGAGATACAAGGTTCAGCGTATTTTGATTAGCCATGCGTGCACTGAAGTAACTGTCATAGATCTGGAACCCCAAGGTGATGTTGGGTAAAAGTTTTAGGTTTTCATTGATCTCATTGACAGCAAACACCATTGACAGAACATGCTGATAATTCTTGGGCACTGTGCTAGAACAAGAAGAACATTGTATGTATGCACACACAATCTTGTACAGTTGCTGGAAGCATGCTCCTGTTTAACACCCATAATGGGTATACATAACTTATAACAAAATGGTTGCAGCTAGAGGTTGTTGTACTTTAAAATAATTTTGTAGTTTTGAAATATATATTTAGAGTTGTATGGGCAGAATTCTGATGGAAGGAAGGAAGGAAGGAAGGAAGGAAGGAAGGAAGGAAGGAAGGAAGGAAGGAAGGAAGGAAGGAAGGAAGGAAGGAAGGAAGGAAGATGTGCTAAGGATCAAATGAGTTCCCTTACTGCACTGCATTCTATTCCTCCTCAGATGTTATTTAACTAAATGAAGGAATGTCCAGTCAGCTAGGATACATTAGAAAATACAGTATAGCAGCAAGAATTAACCTAAAGGATATTCTATTTTTAGAATATAAGATGTTTTTGAATGCTTAATTTATATATTATATAAAAGGCAATGTGAGAAACTATAGATAAAAATAAAAGTCATTGTGAAAACAGAAGTGGTATAAATATATTTTCAAAATTTTAAAGAAGCTTTCAGGACAAGCTATCATGGAAGTATGAGAAAATGGAGGATGAAAGCCTTGGACAACAGAATATATATATATATATATATATATATATATATATATATATATATATATATATATATATATATATATATATATATATATATATATATATATATATATATATATATATATATATATATATGTTTTCTGAGGTTTTCGCGGGTGTTTGTATGTAGGTCTTTGGTCATTCGGGTTCTCTCCCGCGTAAAATTGGAAGTGTCCTNAGAATTAAGGGAGTACTGGGATAGCTATTTCAAACTTTATTTAGTTTTCATCAGCCAGACATACCCTTCTGAGATTCGAACCTGGGCTGTCTGCATGTTAGGCAGATGTGTTAGCCCCTAGGCCACAGGCTCTTTCTCACTTTGTTAGCTACAAGAGACAGGGGAAGAGGATGAATGCTTTTTTACTTTGATGCACCCTTCCTCCCTTCCTCCCTCCCTCCCTCCTTTACTTCCTTCCTTCCTGAAAAAAGTGATTTTTTAAAAAACTTCATTAGGCCAGGCTTATATTTGTTGATGGCTTTGTTTATATGAACAAGATGAGCTTTGTCTTCTATTAAAAAGCATAACACCACATTTCTTTGTTTCTCATATCTACTTAGGGTGATTATTCAAACTTTAGTCCTTTTTATCAGAAAGGAAAAAAAAAGGTTTCCTTACGTATACATGTCTTCAACCATTGTCAGTGGATTCTCAGTGAAGGATAATGGATTGAATTTTGGCATGAAGAGTAGAGAAAAGATTGCACCAATGATGAAGTCTCCGAGCTGATAATACTCATGTTGAATAGGAAGGGAATAATTCACACAACATGAATTAGGAATTGGTTTCCCCTCAATCTGTGGAAACACTAAGAGTAGCCAAAAGAAGAGTTTTGACATCTGAAAGGATGAAGAAGTACCTTCTCTTAACACCAAATCCTTTACCTCAATCTAAAAGCCAGCATCATACTAAGAGCCACACTTAACGTTTTCCAGACTTCTGCACAATGTCTTCAGAAAAGGATAAAAGAAACAGACTGAAATGGGGTTACTATTGCAGGTGCCTATAGACTTATAAAGCTCAGTCAGTCTTTCCAGAATAGAAGATAAATCACAGCTCTTTGTGATAATGACAGGAGTTACCATCTCAAGAAGATTATAACCTCCATGGCATCAGGTGCATCAGAAATGATGAAGAAAACATGTTTATCATATCTTGCTATAGTATCTTAGACATGGAAATCATATCTGGATTTAACATGATGGGTGGGGGAATAACATGGAATAACTATAGGATATAGCTAAGAAAAAAGTAACTATGTTCCAATATGGTAAGAGGACACATAGTTTCACAGTAAATATATGTTTTACATCAGAGGTCCCTAAACATTTCCATTTGGAGGCCTGGAAGGAAAGGGAAGAGTAGGAAAATTTATGTGTGCCTGTGCATGCATAAACAGGCTGCTCACACCCCAGTGGCACTAGTGCCTGTGCACCTGTGCAAATGGAGCCACATGCGCCTGTGGTGCACTAGCATCCCATGTGCATGTGCAAATGGGCCGCTAGGACCTGCGCAACGCTGATGGTGGCGTTAGCCCTCCCACCCAATACTGGCAGCGGCACTAGTGCCCCTGTGCATACACAAATGGGGCCACTAGCACCAGCACACATGCATAAACGGGGCCACTAGTGCATGTGCAAATGGGACCATTAGCACCCATGTGGAAGCTAGTTCCCTCGCAGCAGCGCTAGCATGAGTGGGGGGGAATGCGTGTACACCAGGCCATGGACTGGTACCGGATGGCGGCCCATAGGTTGGGGAACCCTGTTTTACATGGCCAACAAAGCTCTTTGACTCCATCACTTTTTAAAAAACACTAAAATAACAAGGTCTATTTGAGAGAATTCTGCCTAAGGAATTGACTATTGCTAAATAATTCACATATTCAGCTATAGAATCTGCTTCCATATGAACTTGTAATGACCAGTATCTTAGAACGCCATGCAGAGAATGGAGATCAATGGTTACTAGACATAAGGCTGGTATCATACCTCCAGTACTAGAGAGAGTTTGGTTCTTAAGGACATGGGCATATACATTTTTAAGGTTCCAGTAGGCATCCCTTTGATGGAGTGCATAGTCCTTTGACTTTATCCATTAAATATCTTGTATTGTACTCTTCAGTATTTAACATAGTTTGTAGCATGACCCCAAAGAACCATAAAATTATTTTAAAGCATCTAAAAATACTTGGATGGGAGAGGCAACATGGGATCCCTTTTTTTGCTAATACTTTCCATTTTAGATATAAATAAATCACCCATTTTTATTTTGATAAATGATTTTTTTCTCCATTTTTCACACCCTCACTTTGTGAAGCAGGTTTGCCAAGAATTCAGGCAGGTTGAAATATGTTAGCTTCTTATGGCTTTACATGAAGGAGTCTAGAGTGAAAATTTTGAGTCCAGTGTTTCTCAACCTTATCAATTTTAAGATGTGTGGTCTTCAAATCTCAGAATTCTGCAGGCTCTAGACACCCAAACATTTTTTTCTCATCAGGAAACTTCCCCAGACCCTGAGAAGGATTGTTCTTTGCCCATTGTACATTATATATTTTTACTATATGAATTACAACAAAATGTATTTGGGTTTCCCCATATTGTGGGTTTTAACTTTAAGCCATGGTTAGCAGTGTTCCTAACTGTACCAGTCATAATAAACAGAACTTATAATTAAACTCTTTTAATGGGAGGATACACAGTATGAAATGGAGGATAAAAGTGAATCTAGAGTTAGAGAAAGCATATTATTTTCTTTGAAAATGTGAAGGATCATTATAGGTTCTACAAGATGCAGAGAATCATTTTTATTCACAGCATTAGGACAAGCTTTGTATTAACTTCTCAGATTGTATTGAGCTTTGCCTCACCATTCTATACAAGTACAGATCTTTCAAAAGCTATTTTCCTTTTTGTTATTTCTTATTAATTGTCCTTTGCTATTAAGATCAGGCCTCAAAATGATGATATAACATTTTGGAGCAAAGATGCAACCCAGTAATCCAGTGCTAGAAACCAGGATGGAGAAGATCTCCACAGCCACTATGTATTTCCCTTTGGTACTTAGATAAGTAGGGACAAATGACAACCAGACGCTGCAAAAGACCAACATGCTGAAGGTGATAAATTTGGCTTCGTTAAATGTGTCTGGCAATTTCCGAGCAAAGAAAGCTACCATGAAGCTAATGATAGCCAGAAAACCCATGTAGCCCAGAATATAATAAAACATGTTGCCTGATCCTTCATTACATTCCACTACAATTTCTTCAGGTAGAGTTGTCATATCTAAATCTAGAAATGGAGGATCAGTACCCAGCCATATCACACAAATACATGTTTGAATAAGCGAGCCACACAAAACAATAGCAAACGCAAATCTTTTCCCTACCCATTTCCTTATTCCAGCTCCTGGTTTAGTAGCCATGAAAGCAAGAACCACTATGATTGTTTTGGCCAGGACAGAAGAAACAGCCACTGAGAAGATGATCCCAAATGTAGTTTGTCGGAAAAGGCAAGTCAGTAGCTGGGGGCAGCCGATGAACAACAGAGAACAGAGAAAGCAGAGAAGGAGTGAAATAAGGAGAACGTAAGTGAGAATTTGGTTGTTAGCTTTGACAATGGGAGTCTTCTGGTGCTTAATAAAGACTCCAAGCACCAAGACTGTGGTTGTAGAAAGAGCAAGAGCCACAACAGACAAACCTATGCCTAGAGGATCAAGATAACTCAGGTAATTTACTTCCTTGGAAAGGCATTGATTTTTTTCTTTGTTAGGATATTGATCTTCAGGGCATTTGAAGCAGTCATTCATATCTTGGAGAAAGGGAGAAAAACAGAGGAGACATAAAATACATGAGAAGTGGCTGACAGCCTTGTAGATCTGATCTAGATTTTCTCATGGTATAATGCAAAATAGTTAATTCTAATACAATGTGATTAATAATTACGGTAATTCCAAAATACTCCTTTTGTTTAGGACAAAAGCTAGGCTCCTTGCAGGCAGAATCCTTTTGATGAGCTTTTCCTGAAATTCCCAAACTGTTTTCTAGTGAATAATTTGCTTGCACACTAGTTAGGTAGCTAGTTGATTCATTAAAAACACAAAACAAAACACTAATCCATTTTTCATTGAAAAACCATCCCAACCCTTTAAGCTTTGGGCTACAGTTTTAAAGATTTCTATGGCATAGAAATTCTACTAATCAGAATCCAAATTAAAGGACAGTTGAGATAGGAGCTCTTGTTAAAAAAAAGAAGACTCCCTTTTTACATTTAGTCCCTATTCCTGGTAGAGTCGGGATGACTGGATAGAAAATGTGAAAACATTTATCATTTTAGGCAGCAATTGTTTCATCCTCTCAGTGTTCTATTGTCTTGTTGGCTCTGGTTACAGGGCACATTCAACCACAAAATGAAAGTAGCCTGGTGCGCTATGCCAACCCTGCTTAGATGAAACCATGATGATGTCACACACCAAGGAAGCACATTATATAATTGGCAACAATCACATCAAATTATCATAATGAGTCAGTATGAAATTTCCACAGAACTAACTGGATGAACAGTTGGTTCCAACCTTGTAGGTCTTTAGGTGGTTAAGATGTGGCTTTCTCCCCAGGTTTGGGGATCACGTTTAGTGGGATTCCCAATGTGTGAGTTGTAGAAGTTTTCTTTTCTTTATCATTTTATTGCTTCATATATTTTAATGTGTTATGTTATTCTGTTCTAATTATTTCAGATACTTTTGTCTTTTGTACCCTATCCAGAGCTACATAATTTGGATAAGTGCATACATAAATAAATAAATTTGGGAGGATGAAAAATAGAATCACTTAAGCAAGAACCAATGAGATTACATAATAAATAAGACAATACACATCCCTGTCTAACTCCTCTTTTTACTGCTATTTCCTTAGTGACCTAGCTTGTGTTTTCATGAATATTAATAAGTGAGAAGTGTTCTGTATTCTGCTGTACAATAAAACTAAATTAGTGATATAAATGTTTCATTTGTAGTTTATAGTATGGTGTTCTCTACCTGTCTGATTGGAAATCTTTCCTGATGGACATTCAGCACAACCATAGCAGCAAAATGGTTCCCCTTCTTTGCTTTGTCTGCTATAGCCTGGGAGGCAGCGGTGGTTACACAGGGACAAGGGCACAACCTGCCCATGGAAAAGAAGAATCCATTTTAGCCACATTTGTTATTTAGTTAAGTCTCAATGGGGTATTGCACTCAAATTATGATATCATGGACTTCAGGATGTTTTTATGTTGCTAAGGAAGAAGTTATCCTTAGCTCCTAGAGTGTAGATATTGATTTTGAATTTTATCAGATGCCATGGATAGAAGCAACACTCATTGAATACTTGATTCTAGCCTTCTTTATCTTGGTAAGGAAATTGGTATTATATTGATACATACAATAGGTACAGTATAAATGTAAATTCTCAGAGTTTTCAGCAATATCTGTTCATTACTTTGCAAAATCATGAATAATACTAGGCAGAACAATTCTCTATGGGTTTTTTGAAATTCATTTAACAAAAACAAAGTTGCTTCAGAATGGATTTCAAGAGGAAGAAAATTGCAAATAAATGCTCATAAATGAAATGTGATATCCTTGACCTTTTGTTATGACAAGCTGTGAAGGGCTCCTCTTTCATTGTATCTTCCACTGTAGGTCTCCACAACAGGCCATGGTGATGGACAAAATAATGCCACCTGTATGGTGATGTCACAGCACAACCTCACCCTTACACACTGGTATCTCGACATATGACACAAACATGTAAGTCAGAAGGTTTATGTTATGAAACTATAACATAGCTTTTGTTCTTTGTGCCTCTTCCTACCTCTCCAGTGTCTTCAACAATCTGCAATTGAATTGCTTTTTCACATTTTAGTTTAGTTCAGTTCAGTTTGGTTCACACTCTCACATGAAGATTCCTTCATTTTTCACCTCCTGGATTTTTCAATAGCAATAGCAACAACAATAGCAATAGTACTTACATTCATACAATGGTTCATAGTGCTCTACAGCACTCTTTGGGAGGTTTACAGTACCAGTATATTGCCCTCAACAATCTAGCTGCTACTTTTACTGACTTCAGAAGGATTGAAAGCTGAATCAACCTTGAGCCCTATCAGGATTGAACTCCAAGTTGTGGGCAGAGTTAGCCTGCAATACTGCATTCTAACCACTACACCACCACAGTTCTTTTCAACTAGCAATGCTACTGATTCTGCCTTTCGAAAACTAATGCATGCTTTTGGGACACTGTCCCAAGAATCTCTCTTTCCTCAACTCCATTTTTTCTAAATCTAGAACATTTAGAAAAACTATGTACACTCATTATAATTGGCCAGCATCTCAAACCAGAACCTGCTGGATCTTTGACTTTCCAACTTACATATACAATGGATGAGAAAGTTTTAAATTACATATCACTTTGTCTTGATTCCCACTCCTTGTTTAGTAACTATTTTTGTTAGTGGCCATTGACAAAAATGACAGTAATAAAAATTAATTTTCTAAGCAATGAGCACATTTATGACCAAATTTTGTGTGCCTGGCCATAATGCAAAATGACCCAGTCTGCCCCCATCCTCTCCATGGGTCCTTAGGTTTTAATGTCTGATTTTAATTATTTGTGTTTTAATCATATATGTATAGACATATTTTTATGACTGCAAGCTGCCCAGAGTTACCCTATGATAAGATTGGGGGAGGGGGCAATAAATGTTATAAATAAAATTAAAATAAATAATGCATGCTGGAGTGAGAGTAATACTGGCACAGTTGTACAAGAGAACTTTATCTTGATGAGATAATAACAACTAGTGATCTTTATCTGTCTCTCTCATAGTCATGTGTTCACTTAACATGTGAAGCTTAATAACCTGGCTGTTGTAATAGAACATGGTCTCTAAATAAGGAGTGGGTTTCATTTTGTTCTAGATTTATCTAACTTTAAAAAGAATGCCAAGTCTTATTCTATAATACCAATACCAAGTATTGTAGAATTATGAAATTGTTTGACTTGGACTGTAGAGACCCAGGATTATGTTCTAATCTGAGGGACAGAAGGTCACTGGTTAAGTTTGGAGAACCACTATCTCTTTTGTTTTACCTCTTATGATTGTTGTAGAGAAATAAAATTGGAGAGCTACTTGCATCATTTATTAAAGAGGATGAGTAAGATATAATACACTTAAATGAAATTTATATCAGAAAAGTTTAAATGTGAAGCACTGTTTGGCCAGAAAGAGGATGTCATTTTAAAAAGAAATGATTGATAATATTATTGCATTAAAAGTTACTTATTGAGAAATGTATGGACTTTCTTTGTCCCAAAGGTGCTTTTTTCCAAAAGGCAACTGAACGTTCTTGTTGTTTTTTCTTTACAAATGTTTCAATGCAGCTCTAGTTTGATAAGATTCTCTCTATTAGGCTTAAGCAAATAAAGGATTGAATTCAATTGGATATTCAAGTGCTATCTCTGGTTCTTTAACCTGATGATTTACAACATATTTCCTCCACATTTACTTGTATCTAAGACAAGCTACTTCTTTTGTGCCCCTTCTTGATCTTCATTTACCTCAGTGTCTCTTCTGTTCATCATTTAGTTCTGTATTGATATTTTGTTATTTGACCTAACCAATCAGAGGAGAGCTGCAAGAAATTATGAAATGGAGAAATATGTTCCTTACAATTCCCTTAGATGACTGTTACCCTTAATGAGAATGAATGGGACCCAGTCATGCATGAGCTTTAGTTAATATATAAACTTTATATCTTGGTGTTTAGTCCTACCTCTCCAAATGTATAATGCCAGGTGATAATCTTCTCATTAATAGACAACTGTTTGTCCCATGAAGCTTGAGGATCCATTTTCCCGACTTTCACTTTTAAGAAAGATTGATTTGGAAAAGTTATCCAGTTGATAATATCAAATCCACCTACTAATTCACCATTCGCATTAAAAAACAAGGTGTCTCCAGCAGAGTTGTTAAATGAGATTTCCTTCAGAAAAGGGTGGATCTTTAGGTGACGAAAACCAAGGATAGGTTTCACAAAATTGTATTTATCTGTTTGTTTCTGAACTATATATACCACCCATTCTCAAAACATCTCAACAGTTTGCAATATATGCACCCACTAAAACTCAAGGCACTAAAACAGTTAGATTTACAATTTAAAAGAACAATGGAGATAAATAGCTATAATAATTAAAATTAGCAATGTGAGCAATTGAAAACTGGTACACAAGTTTAGATGACTACCCAACAGCTCCAAAACCAGTTCTGTCTTTTCAGTCTGAAATCTGTTAAGCAGCAAGCTAGTGGTAGAGTAGCATAATCCTCAATTAATATCTCATTCCAAGTCCAGAATGCACATACCTGTCCTGTGTCTGATTGCCTAACTCCAGATTTTCCTCTCTTGCAGGAGGAAAACACTTCCTCAACTGCTTTTCTTTGCTGTGCAGGCTATGCTTCCCTAAAGGTCCTAACCCCTTGACCTTGATTAATTAATTATTAGCTGTCTGAAATTGGCATGATCCTAATCAATTTCACCCCAAAGGTTTCTTTTTGTCTCCTAAGCAGCTGTGTCAGGCCATTCCATTCAAGATGCATTCCTCACTGTGTGTTTGCTTGTTGTTGTTCAGTCACCAAGAGTTGTGACCAACTCTTCACAGCCCCATGGACAATAGTATATCAGATTTCCCTGTCCTCCACTATCTCCTGGAGTTTGCCCAAATCCATGTTCATTGTGTCAATGACACTATCTAATCATCTCATGCTCTGCCGTCCTCTTCTTCCTTTTCCTTCCATTTTTCCTCAATATTAGAGTCTTTTCTAATGAGTCCTCTCTTCTCATTTGGTGACCAAAGTATTTGAGCTTCATCTTCAGTATCTGTCCTTCCAAGGAACTATTAGAGTTGATTTCCTTTAGGATTGACTGATTTGATCTCCTTGCAGTCCAAGAGACCCTCAATAACCCTGCCCTAGTTACTTTGGTAGGAATGGCACATATTCTATATCCTACAGCTCTAGATTGCTATCCATTCATAAAAGAGTAGGCTTGTTTAATGTGAAGAACATTACCTGAAAATGTTGTAGTTTTGAAGACTCAACAATCCCCAATCTGTGTTTAATTTTGGATGAATCCATAGCATGGAAAGCATGAGCCACAGCATAGATTGCATTGTAGATGCTGTAGCTTTGACCCGTCATCTGCATTTCAAAAAGAGGTCCAGGAATGTTCTCCAGCTGCTCATTTCCAGTGCAGGATGTCAGCTGATTCTCCCCTGCACCTGCATCTTCAAATACACAGTCAAATGCTTGTTCCCAGAAAAGCTTGACAAAGCCATCCGCTTCAGAACGTGGATTCAATTTATGAAGGAAATTTTGGAAATCTCTCATCTCCTTGGAATGAATTGCAAATGATAAGGCTCCATGGAAGATCTGTATACTTATCTGTCTGTGAAATGTTTCAGATGAGAAATCCCAAGGAGCTGTGACAACCCACACTTTGTCAATAGGCTGTAATTTGAAATTGTTAACCACAAACTCCAACCAATGAATATCCAACATGGCATGTGTATCTGCCTTTGCAACAACTACACTGGCATTTGACTGATGGAGAGATAGAACTATATTCTTTAATTGACTGATCAGTTTATCTATCTGAAAAAAATACTCATGACTAGGTGTTCTTTCTGTGAAGGCTATACAGATTTCTTTCTCAAAAAGCAGATATGATAAGATTTGCACAAATATTTCTCCTTTCTCATCTCCTAGGGCAATGATCCCAACCCATTTCCATTGAAAATATAACAGAAGCTGGACAAGTCCATTCAACTGAAAAGTTTCACTAGGAGTCATCTGGTATAAGAAAGCAAATTGATTTTTTTCTCTTACTGCTGGAGAAAAGAAGCTATAGGTGACCTAGAGGAGATTAGAGAGATTTTCATCCTTTGGTTAGTGAATTTCATGCATTTGTTTGACACCTAAAGATTATTTTCCTTACTTTCAAGAATTCTACACATTTTTGAAGAAATTCAATGAAGGCAATCTGATGTAAGATGTTGGACTTGCACTGAAGAGAGTCCAACATTTTTGCACTGAAGAGAGTCCAACATTTTTCCTTAAGTTTCCTTAAGAAGCAACCCACAGTTCAGCAAGGGTAGTCAGGCTGAATCTGAAGCATCTTTGTTTGCTAAATACTGTACACCTTTATATAGAAACTATTTTTGTAAAAGCAAATAAAGACGTCTATACTGTGATATTGTATATGAAATAGCAGGGGAAATCATTATATATAATACAATATATATCTCAAGATTAGGCATTGTTTTCCCCCATCTCTACCAAACATGCTTGGAAAGACAGGAATAGAATAGAACAGAGCTGGAAGGGACTTTGGAGGTCTTCTAGTCCAACCCCCTTCACAAGCAGGAGACTCTCTACCATTTCGTGTCCCGTCTCTTTTTAAAAATCTGCATTGATGAAGCAGCCACAACTTCTGAAGGCGAACTCTTCCACTGGTTATTTGTTGCTATATTAATTATTAGTGTCCTTACCTGAAGATTACACCATTCAAATGCTTCTGATTATCACTTTTGCAAACTAACAAAAATAAGGAAGGGAAAGGGAAAGGGAAAAGGAAAGGAAAGGGAAGGAAAAGAAAGGAGCTTTATTTTTGCATTTTTCCAAGAGTTTGATAGGTAGATAGTGAGATAGAAAGATTGTGTTGGATAGATACAATTTCCCAAAGAAGCCTACAGTTCTTGCATAATTTCCCACCTAAGTCTTGACAAAGTCCAACTCTGTTCAGTTTTTGAGAGCTAACAAAATTCATTGAGAGCTTCCAAGGGTGAATGACTCACACACCTCAAACTGGATTGTTGCAACAATTAGGACTCTTTTGCAATTTCTATGGAGCAAAGTGGGTTAACATCTTCACAGCATCAACATCAGTTTAAAAGGGCTTATTCTTCAGCTAAATACCAAAACATTTTCTATTTTTCAATCTCTTTTGAATCTCCCCCTCAAGTGAACAAATGAAATTGAATTGCCATAATAATATTATTTTCAACTTATTACATTCTGGTTTCTCTCAAGTGGACTTTTATTTTCACACTGTTATTTTCATTTTACTGATAAAAATCTTCATTATCTCTACCCATCTTACCTGAGAAATTTTGTAAAGGGTTAAGATGGAGGCCATGTGTAGAGTGATTTCAGAATCAAGGCCCCCAATGGCTGCTATCAGATTCCTTTCAACATCACACTTGTAATTGGGGACAGTCTTGTTATGGCGAGATACAAGGTTCAGCGTATTTTGATTAGCCATGCATGCACTGAAGTAACTTTCATAGATCTGGAACCCCAAGGTGATGTTTGGTAAAAGTTTTAGGTTCTCATTGATCTCATTCACAGCAAACACCATTGACAGAACATGCTGATAATTCTTGGGCACTGTGCTAGAACAAGAAGAACATTGTATGTATGTACACGCAATCTTGTACAGTTGCTGGAATCACGCTCCTGTTTAATACCCATAATGGGACATAACAAACAACAAAATGGTTGCAGCTAAAGGTTGTCTAGAGCCATGGTGGTGCAGTGGTTAAAATGCAGTATTGCCAACAGTTTGATTCCTTTGATCCTGACCGGATCAAGGTTGACTAAGTCTTCCATCCTTCCAAGTTTGGTAAAATGAGGACCCCAGATTGTTGGGGATAATATGCTGACTCTGTAAACTGCTTAGGGTGCTGTAAAGCACTATATAAGGAACGGTTGCTGGAATTGGGTATGTCTAGTTTAACAAAGAGAAGGACGAGGGGGGACATGATAGCAGTGTTCCAATATCTCAGGGGCTGCCACAAAGAAGAGGGAGTCAAGCTATTTTCCAAAGCGCCTGAAGGCAGGACAAGGAGCAACAGGTGGAAGCTAACCAAAGAGAGAAGCAACCTAGAACTAAGGAGAAACTTCCTGACAGTTAGAACAATTAACCAGTGGAACAATCTGCCTCCAGAAGCAGTGAATGCACCAACACTGGAAGTTTTTAAGAAGAAACTGGACAGCCATTTGTCCAAAATGGTATAGGGTTTCCTGCCTGAGCAGGGGGTTGGATTAGATGACCTCCAAGGTCCCTTCCAACTTTATCATTATTATTATTATTATAAGAGCCCTGGTGGCACAGTGGTTAGAATGCAGTACTGCAGGCTACTTCTGCTGATTGCCAGCTGACAGCAATTTGGCAGTTTGAATCTCACCGGGCTAAAGGTTGACTCAGCCGTCCATCCTTCCAAGGTTGGTAAAATGAGGACCCAGATTATTGGAGGCAATATGTTGACTCTGTAAACTGCTTAGAGAGAGCTGTAAAGCACTGTGAAGCAGTATACACAGTAAGTCTAAGTGCTATTGCTATAAGTCTAAGTGCTATTGTTATTGTCAGACTTTAAAATAATTTGGTACTTTTGAAACAAATCCTCAGAGATCTGAGGAATGAAGGAAGGAAAGAAGTAAGGGAGGGAGAGAGGGAGAGAGGGAAGGAAGGAAAGAAGGAGGGAAGGAAGGAAGAAAGGGCTAAGGATCAAACAAGTTCCTTTACTGCACTGTATTCTATTCTTCTTTAAATGTTGTTTAACTACATAAAGAAATGTTATCTGGTAAGCTAGGATACATTAGAAAATACTGTGTAGCAGCAAAATTTAACCTAGACGATGTATTTTTAGAATATAAAATGAACATACAGCACAGATTTTGTATGCTTAATAAAAGGCAAAGTGAGGAACTATGCAGAGAAACTTAACATAATAATAATTATGAAAACAGAAGTGGTAAGATAAAGATTCATATTGTCCCCTTAATTGTCTAACTTATTTTTGAAATTATAAGACTGGCAGGATTGGACATGATGACAATATAGATCAGACTTGGAAGCTGATTTTAATGAAATGGAAGCAGCAAGCAGTCCACCAACTGAAAAACTGCACCACATTTTTTTTCCTGAACAAATTTCTTATATTTGTAATGGAATAATAGACCTAATAATGGACTTATTCTTTTATAAACTGCAAAGAGCCACAATATTAATTTTTCAAATATGACTTGTTGACAACTGTTAGATCATTATCTATGTCAATATTGGAAATTGCCTTACTATGAAGAATTCTATGGTAGCCTAAGGAGTAACAACCTTATTATAAAATAAACTTTCTCATGATTAGTAGCATTTCCTCAGGGGCAATGAACAATTAGACACTGCCAAAGTCCTAAATGAGAGCAAAACTTAGAACAAGCTTTTCTGAAGCATTTGTACTAATTTTTAACCAAAACTTCTTTCTTTCTTTCTTTCTTTCTTTCTTTCTTTCTTTCTTTCTTTCTTTCTTTCTTTCTTTCTTTCTTTCTTTCTTTCTTTCTTTCTTCCTTCCTTCCTTCCTTCCTTCCTTCCTTCCTTCATTTCTGCCGGCCTGCTGACCTGCCTGCCTGCCTAATTTTTTAAAACTTCATTTAGGCCATTTGTTGATAGCTTTGTTTATATGAACAAGATGAAGTCTGTCTTTCTTTAAGAAACGTAACTCCACATTCCTTTGTTTCTCATAAATACTTAGGGTGATTATTTAAACATTTTGTCAGAGAGGGCAAAAAAAAAAAGGTTTCCTTACGTATACATGTCTTCAACCATTGCCAGGGGATTCTCAGTGAAGAATAATGGATCGAATTTTGGCATGAAGAGTTGAGAAAAGATTGCACCAATGATGAAGTCTCCGGGCTGATAATACTCATGTTGAATAGGAAGGGAATAATTCACACAACATGAATTAGGAAGAGCTTTCCCCTCAATTTGTGGAAACACTAAAAGTAGCAGCAAAAGGAAGAGCTTTGACATCTGCAAGAATGAAGAAGTACCTTCTCTTATACACCAAATCCTTTACCTCAGTCTAGTGCCCATTGTCATACTAAGTGTCACACTTAGTGCTTTCCAGACTTCTGAAAAATGTTTTCCAAAAAGGATAAAAGAAACAGACTGAAATGGGGTTACTATTGCAGGTGCCTATAGACTTATAAAGCTTAGTCAGTCTTTCCAGAACAGAAGATAAATCACAGCTCTTTGTGATAATGACAGGAATTACCATCTCAAGAGGACTGTAACCTCCATGGCATCAGGTACATCAGAAATTATGAAGAAAACATGTTTATCATATCTTGTTATGATATAACAGAATAACAGAACAGCAAAGATGGAAGAATTGGTCTTCTTGTACACCTGTGTTCAAATAGGAGACATACCATTCTGGACAAATGACTGTTCTGAAAGCAAGCTGTTCTACTGATTAATTGTTCTGTCAGGAATTTTTTTCTTTAGTTCTAGGCTGGTTCTCTCCTTGATTAGTTTCTATCCATTACTTCTTGCCCTGCCTTGAGGTGCTTTGGAGAATAGGTGACCCCCCCTCTTCTTTGTGGCAGCTCCCTTGATATTGGAAGATTTCTCTCATATCCTTCTCTTCATTAGACTAGACATACCCAGTTCCTCTAACTGTTCTTCATATGGTTTAGCCTCCAGTCCCCAGTTATTTTTGTTGCTCTTCTCTGCACTCTTTCTAGAATTTCAACATCTTTTTATATTGTGGCAAGCAAAACAAAATGCAACATTTCAAGAGTGGTTTTAGATATGCAAATCTTAGATATGGAAATGGTACCTGGCTGTAAGATGATGGGTGGGGAAATGACAAGGAGTAACTGTAGCATATAGCTAGGAAAAAAATAATTCTCTTCCAATATACTAAGAGAACACATGGTTTCACAATAAATATATGCTTTATATGGCCAAGAAAACTCTTTGGAACCAACATGTAAAGAAACTGAAGTAAGAAGGCCTGTTAAAAAGAATTCTGCCTAAGGAATAGAGTACGGCTAAATCACATATTTAGCTAAAGAATCTGCTTCCATATGATCTTGTGATATTATATACCTTAGAATGCATTGCAGAGCAGTGAAGATACGTTTATCAGTGGCTAGTAGGCATAAGTTGGTTTTATACCTCCAGGATTAGAAATAGGTTGGTTCTTAAGGGCATGATTATATCCACGTTTAAGTTTCCTATAGGCATCCTGTAGGCATTTGATCAGTTGAGGAAATAATATGATGGAGTGCATAATCCTTTGACTTTATCCATTAAATATGTTGTATTGCATTCTTATGACCCAAAAGAACCATAAAATTATCTTTAAAGTATCTAAAAATGCTTGGATAGGAGGGCAGACATAGGGTCTAACTAAACCAGCCATTTTCACTTTCATAATTTTTTTTTGATGCCTCACTTTGTGAAGCAGGTCGGCCAAGAATTCAGACAGGTTGAAATGGGTTAGCTTGTTATGGCTTCACATGAAGGAGTTGACTCTGAGCCCAGTGTTTCTCAACCAAAGCAATTTTATGATGTGTGGCCTTCAGTTCCCCAGCCAGCAGGCTCTAGCCAGCCAACCATTTTTATTCTTACCTAGAAACTTCCACAGACTCTGAAAAGGAGTGCCCATTATACATTATATTTTCACATATTGCAACTTTTAACTTTAAACAATGGTTAGCAATCTGCCTTTTATCACTCCAGTCAAAATAAATAGCAGTCATAATTGAACTCTTTTAATGAGAGGATGTATAATATGAAATAAATATGAAATGGAGGATAAAAGTGAACATAAATGTACAGTTTATACAGTAAATAAATACAGTATCCTGTCTTTGTTCAGCTGGTTTAAGATCTGAAAAAGAAATATAATCAAATATGTTTATTTTCTAATGATGTTTTCAAGTAGGTCAGGTCATGAAACTGATGTTGCAGGGATTCCAGGAATATCACTTTATTGTTATAGGTTATAGTAACAGACAGTGAGGTCAAGTTGGGGCTATTCTGAGTCTTTATCTTACACTTTCTTCTTCACAACTGAGCAACATTTTATCTTTCCAATTTTCTTCTCAAAGCCAATGCTAAGTTATTCAAAATCAATGGATATCAGTAATTGTTAATTTTTTGTTTTTAAGTGCTCCTTTGTATTGAGTTCTGGCCTCAGTACAATTATGTAACATTTAGGGAAAAATAAAGATCCCAATATTCCTATACTGGAAGCCAAGATGGAGAAGATCTCCACAGCTACCATGTATTTTCCTTTGGTGCTCAGATAAGTTGGGACAAAAGACACCCATACGCTACAGAACACCAGCATGCTGAAAGCAATAAATTTGGCTTCATTAAAAGTGTCTGGCAGCTTCCGAGCAAAGAAAGCCACAATGTAACTGATAAGAGCCAGCAATCCCATATAGCCTAAAATATAATAGAACATGTTGCCTGATCCTTCATTACATGTGACTACAATCTCTTCTGGAAGAGAATGCATGTCCAGATTTGGGAAGGGAGGGCTAGTACACAGCCACAGTATGCAAATACTTGCTTGAATGCAGGAACAACAGAGAATCAGAGAGTTGGAAAATCTTTTCCCCACCCATTTTTTCATTTTTGATCCTGGCTTAGTGGCCATAAAAGCTAGAACCACTGTGATGGTTTTGGCCAAAACTGAAGAAACAGCAACTGAGAAGATGATCCCAAAAGCAATTTGGCGAAGAAGACAGGTCAGCAATTGGGGTTGACCAATGAATAGCAAGGAACAGAGGAAGCAGAGGAAGAGGGAAACAAGGAGAAGATAAGTGAGATTCCGGTTGTTAGCTTTGACAATGGGAGTATTCCGATGTTTTATGAAAATTCCAAGTACCACCACTGTGGTCACAGAAAATGATAAAGACAGAAAAGTCAAAGTGATGCCTAAAGTTTCATTATAAGACAAGAAATTTAGATTCTTGGGAATGCAGATATTTTTTTCCTTGTTTGGATATTGTTCTTCTGGACAGTCTAAGCAGTCATCCATATCTGTGAAAATATATATTTCAGAATTTAGTATTTCAAATTGTGCATATTTTAATTTACCAAATTTACTAATTGAAATCATTCTATGTAAAAATAATCAATGGACAGTATGGGTCTTGGAACTGAAATGTGTATGTCTTTATGGATATACCCATTTGCACATGTACAAACATTACAATACAATATTTCCTACCTCTTTCATTTGAAAACTTTCTTGATGGACAAGTAGTGCAATCATAACAACAAAATGGCTCCCCTTCCTTCCTTTTCTTTCTGGAACCTGGTGGGCAATGATCATTGCACAGAGCAAGAGGTATTGTCTATTCATTATTGAGAGAGATAAATTTATTTTATTTCCTTGAATCCAACTTTTTTTTGGAAATCAGTACATGCAACATAAACTTCTAGAAATATTCATATGCATGTGTTAATTTTGTCTGTTTGCGTCTCTGTGTTTGTAGGAAATCTACAATAAAAACAGCCTTTTATGATCTGCAATCTCTTAATTGGATGTAAAGTCAGGGTGATTGGATGGATCTGAGTGTTTACTGGCCAGATGCTCTTCCTGATGCCACACGTTGTTCACAGCAAATATTTTTTTCTTTGCCCCCTGAGGGGGAGATAGGATTGAACTCTCAACTTTTAAAGTGGGAGGCAACGGTCTTCACCACAGGGCCACTATTCTGCTCTTATAGGAAATCTAAAATAATCCCCCAAAACTAATTATATAAAGGACAGGGAGAAAACAAATAACAACAACAACAACAACAGTAGTAGTAGTAGTAGTTGGAAGGGATTTTGGAAATCTTCTAGTCCAACTCCCTGCTCAGGCAGGAAACCCTATACCATTTCAGACAAATGGCCGTTCAGTCTTTTCTTAAAAATTTCCAGTGTTAGAGCATTCACAACTTCTGGAGGCAAGTTGTTCCACTGATTAATTGTTCTAACTATCACCATGTAGCCTGGGGCTAATGTGACTTGAAAGTTTAGGCAATAAGGATGGCCTAAAACCTAGATCGGCAAGACTCAATAATAAAAATGCATCTCCTCAATCAGAGGTATTAAAGATACCCAGTAGAACCTTCTTGGGGCAACTAAGCATTTTCCCATTTGAAAGCTCTCCATTTCCTTGCAGAAAAAGAGAACAGAAGCCATCAATTCCTTTCAGTCCCCCTTCCCCTTGCAAACTAACTTTACTAGTCCAAAAATTTCACAAACAGGATCAAAAATATCAAGTTTGTCCTCATCCAGACACTTATTTTTAAAATATTGGGAATCGTTAATTGCTGAGAAGAAGGGTATCTATTTTGGTTTTCAAACTGGAAACAATTTTGGTCCTACCTGGTTAAAATGGGTCGGCCATGTGATTTTTCTTTCATTGATGGAGAACTTTCTGCCTGAGGGTGCTTGAGGATCCATTTGTCCCACTTTTACTTTCACAAAGGATTTGTTAGAGAAAGTAACCCAGTTGATAATGTCAAATCCAGCTAGCAATTCACCCTTCTTGTCAAAAGACACCTTGTCTCCGGCACTGTTATTAAAGGAGACTTGACTTAGGAAATGGTAAAGCTGGAATAAATGAAGTTTTGACAAGTATTACCAAAGTGGTGGGAAAAGTGAAAAATGTTTTGCCTGGAATAAAGTTTTGCTATACTCTGAAGCTATTTAATTATTTTATCATTCCATTATTGGTGGTCCCATTATTTCCTTCCCCAATCAAATATTTTAGTTCAGCTCAGTTTTTAAAAGGACACTAAGAACTAGCAGATAATGTATTTCAAATAAAAAATAAATAAATTTTCTTTCGGCATAGAAATATCTTGGTACACCTATGTCACTGGTGGGAATCCAAATATTTCAAAGTTATGATTTACTATCTGCCAGGGGAATACTACTACTATTACTACAACAACTACTACTACTATTATTTCTATTGCATTACTGTAAATTTATATGCTTTCTGCTTCCCAGTGACTCTGGGCAGGTATCCAAGTGATTATTGAGCAATATGTATACTTTTCCTGCTATCACTTATTGTGCAATTTTTTATTATTTACTTAAGTTAGAATATTCTGCAAAATGATGGATTTGATATCCTAGGTATAAATTCTGGATTTTGTAGCATCATGCATCTGCAAGAATAAACCTCTCATTTCTTTCAAAACTTACAAAAATGATAGTCTCAAAAAAACTTCAGTCCTTTTATTACACTATGGAGTCTACTTACACATATTTTATCTACATTGTTTTCAGATAGTCCTAGACTTACAGCCATTCATTTATTGATCATTCAAGGTTACAATCGCACTGAAAAAATAACTTATGATTGGTCCTTGCATTTATGACTATGGCAGCATCCTCAAAGTCATGTGATCCAAATTTGGGTGCTTGGCATATGGTATATATTTAGACCGTTGCAGTGTCTTGGGGTCATATGATCACTATTTGTGACCTTCCCATCCAGCTTTTGATAGTAAAGTCAATGAGAGAAGCTGGATTCACTTAACGATCATGTAATTCTCTCAACAACTACAATGACTCACTTAACAATCAGGACAAAAAGAGTTATGGGCAGGACTCACTTAACAACTGACTTGCTTAGCAATGGAAATTTTGATCCCCATTGTGGTCATAAATCAAGAAATATCTGTATAATCACTGTCTCACCTTCACTGTATCTCCTTTGGGAATGCACAGTAATGCATTATATATAGCATGAGAATCCTTCTTATATAAATGAAAGCATTAATATTAACAATAACATTGATGCATCAAAAAAAAAATCTGCCTTCGAGCTGAGATGTTACCTGAAAATATTGTCTTTTAGAAGTCCTTGGATGATCTCTAACCAACACTGCTCCATATTTCTCTTTGGATGAATATAATGTATGCAAAGCGTGCACCACAGCATAAACAGCATTATAAACACTGTAGCTTTGACTAGTCATGCTCATTTCAAAAAAAGGGTGTGAGAGGTTTTCTAGTTTCTCACTGCCAGTGCAGCTTCCCTGGTTCTTCATGTCTATTGCAGAAGCTGGAAATGAGCATTTAAATGCTTGTTCCCAGAAGACTCTGATAAAATGATCGGTAAGAGAATAGGGGTCCTGGAAGAGAAGGAAATTCTGAAATGCTGACATCTCAGAGGTGTGACTTGCAAAGGACAAGGCACCATGGAAGATCTGCATATTTAAATTATTTAAAAAGGGCTCCACTGAAAAATCCCAATGGGCTGTCATCACCCATACCTTCTGAACAGGCAGCATCATGTCTGATTTGGCAAGATTGAGCACTATCTGCAAATCTAACATCATGTGAGCATCAGCACTTATAACACAAACATTGACATTTGCTTTACTCAGCAACAGGGCCATCTGTCTTAAGATGTCATTGAAATTATCAAGAACATCTAAAATGTTGCTTTGGAGTGGCATTCGTTCAGTGAAGGCAATACAGATTCCATTATCAGAAAAACTTTTTTCCAAGGTCTGCACAAACGTTTCTCCTTTATCATCATCCATGGCCATGATCCCAATCCACTTCCATTGAAAATGAAGCAACAGCTGGACAATCCCAGTATACTGATGTGCTTCATTTGGTACCATGCGATATAAGAAAGATGGGTGGCTTATATCATTCACTGGTGGAGTATATAAACAATAGGTGACCTAAAGAACATAATTCCATTTATATTGGGGAAATACAAAAATATCTACAGGGTCAAGTAGTTTTCTATAATGCTAGTTCTTTCTCCCATGTTGACAACCTCAAATTGCCTTCTCTTCTCCACTTTAACTTCATAAAAGTGTAGTGAAATAAAAAAAAATGGCATGCAGTCATCCCCATGCTGAAGCTCAGTCAAAATATTCCATGTCCAACTCAAATCTTGCTTCCTCTTTATTTACAACCTAACCCTAACCCTAACCCAAAATAAATGAATGAATAAATAAATAAATAAGAAAATAAATAAGAACCATTTGTTCTGCATAACAGATTCCATATTACCATAACTTCTTTTACCTGCCTTTATACATATTATTTCTTATGTCATCCATTTTCCCATCTCTAGTTAACAACACATGAAGTACAAACATTTTTCTACTTGCTCTCATTTTTCACTATTTATTTCTGATTTATAATTATTCCTTTTATTTCCCTGGTTACATTCTAAGATCAGTCAGTGCCAACTAAGTGCTGTCACCTAGCATAACAATTAATATGAAACTTTCCTGTCGTCATGTTTGTCTGTTATGTAAGTTTATGTAAGTTTAAAAGAATTTTTAAAAGAATCAGTGATGATTTATGTACACTAGAAAGATTACTTTTGATCCCCTTCTGTGATGTTATGATATTGAGAATAAGGAATGTAGAGAGCAAAAGGAACTGAAAGAAAAAAAAAGAGAATAGTTAAGGCCAGCATAAATAGACAAAAGGGAAAGAAGATAACCATCATATTAAAGATAAATGCCGGTTGGCATTGTGAGAATGTAAAACAACCCCTTTTATTCATATTATTCATTGATAACTTGTATAATTAAATTGAGTTTTAAATGGTTGATTAGCAAATTTACCACAGAGCAAATGAGAAAAAAAATCTGTCAACTCTCTCCCTTCCTGCAATATCACATTACCAGAGAAGGAGAATGAAATAGCATCACATTAGTGCAAGAAAAAAAAAAAGAAGATTACGCATATTTCATGGTGCTGGCAATGAGTTCTTAAAACTCTTTGTATTCCCAAACAAAACGTAGAAGAAGTCATATTATTTCTACTCAGATCAACCTGCTTTTGGTACATCACTATAAAGAAAATGTAAACAATACAATGTAGATAGTAAGTTTCTTAATAAATGCAACTACTTTTTTTAATAAATGCAGATAGTAAGTTTCTTAGTAAGTTTTTTTTTTAGCATATCAACTTCTGGGATTTGAAGTCTATTAATCTTAAAATTATCAATATTGAGACACACTGTAAAAGTAAACAAATAGATCTGTAATCCACCTTACCTGAGGAATCTTGTAGATCCCTAAGATAGTAGCTATGTGAAGGGAAGTTTCCGAGTCAGTACCCCCAATGACAGCTGCTGGTATCTTCTTGCTGCAGTTGTAGTTGAGAATAGTTGGCTTCTGATTAAAGAGCAGGTTCAGTGTGTTCTGAAAAGTTATCTGGGCATCAAAGTGGCTATCATAGACATGAAATCCCAGAGTTCTATTGGGTAAGATCATGCTGTTTCCATTGATTTCATTCACTGCAAATGCCAAGGCTAGGGTGTGCTGATATTTTTTCAGCATTATACTAAAGTAAAAGACACATCTTGAGTAAGCCATGAAGGTCAATGTTGTGAACATTTGCACACTATTCCTGCAAGAGGCACCCTATATTTACTGGTGGAGAACATTGGAGAATGAGAAACCTGACACTTAGAATGTAGTTACCTTTAATTAGAAGAATAGGTTGTTTGCTTGTAATGGTTCTGCCCTTCTCCAATATTTTAACTATTCTAAACTCTAAGGCAGAAGTCCATTTTCAGAGAAAGTATGCTCAGGAACAAATATTGCTTGCTTCTGGCCTCTCACAAGGTCAGAGAACTATGGACCTTACTGAATTTTTTCCCAATGACTTTTCAGTAGGAAGTCTATGGGTATAAATCAGGGGTCTTCAAACTTGGCCCTTTTATGACTTGTGGATTTCAGCACCCAGAATTCCTCAGCCAGGCACACCGGTATAAATAATACTACATATATAATAGCAAGGACTTTAAGTAATAGAAGATTGAGGCAAGACTAATGCAGGTTTTCCCACTTCACACATTCAAATATAGCATGTCTTATTGATTGATTTGATATTATCAGATGTAAAAGATCAGAATAAATTCAGAGCATACAAGGATGTCTGGCAAATATGATAGAATCATAGAGCTAGAAGATAAGTTTACATCATAATATCCAACTGCTTGCTCAGTGCTGGAGCTTTAAGTTTAAGCCAAATACAGTGGTTGGGTTAAACCCAAGATCTGTAAGACAGAGGTTGCTGGGATGAAAAATAACAAGGTTACCACATATGTACGTTGGGTCTGACCACTATTTCAATCTATTTTCTATTACCAGAAGAGCAGAATAAATGGATGTAGGAGTAAAAATAATCTGACTACTAGAATCTATTTCCTATTAATTCGGTTTTTAATATAGATATTATTGTATTATTGTATTGTGGTTTTTATGAGGCTGTTAGCCGCCCTGAGTCCTATGAGGAGAAGGGCGGGATACAAATTAAATTATTATTAGAGTTGCTGAAAGCATATCAGTGGCACTGCCAGGAAATAGCCAAGTATTACAGAAATCAATAACGTTTTTCTTACACAGGTTCAACATCACACTTGGGTGTAGGGTGTGAGCTGAAGTCTGCTCCTTCAGAAAAGGAGAAAAGCTGTGAAATTATCCCACCAATTATCAAATCACCTGGCTGAAAATATTGGTATTGCACTTTCAGAGACTCAGGAATAGTACACACTGCAGGAGATAGCACACAATCTGTTGGTGGCAGCAGCAGCAAACACACAAGAAGTCTCATGGACGAGAAGGACCCTCTCGTGCAACAGGCAAGATGATTGTCCCTTAATTTAAGATCTCCTACTCCTTTGATCATCATCATCCAGCTATTTAGTATGCCATGGTCTTTCTGATTCTGGTTCCTACCAGTAAATGTATATGCACTGGTCCACTGAATCCATGGATGGATGGATAGATAGATGGATACATACATAGATATATACATATATACACTAACCCTCCCTTTGATAAGTTCAGGAGTTATATACCTGTATGCAATTAGAATGAAAAAAATATTTTTTCTGCTTTGAGAGTAATGAGGATTTCATAATTAATACTTTAGATAATCATAAAGTGCATAGACATAGTTTGCAAAACACTGCAAATTCCCAGAGGTCACTCCTACTCCTTCTCTTTCTTCTCCATCTCTATTGCTGGTTTGGGCCTAATAATGATTGTTTTGTAGATGTTAAAGTATTGGAGCTCCTGAACAAAAGGAAAGCTACAGATTAATTAGGAATATAATCTAATAAATAGATATATATTAAATTTATTAATTAGATTTATTAGAAATAAAATAGATATATATTAAATTTATTAATTATATGTATTGGGAATAATATTTTAAGAATACACATATCATAAATTATCCTTAGATCTATTTATTAGATTTGATTTACTGGGAATAGATTTATTAAGGATATAATCTAATAAATTATTGTTATATCTATTTCTTTGATTAGATTTCTTAGATTGGATTATTAGGAATATGTGTGTACTTGTGTGCCTTCAAGTCAACGTCAACTAGAAGAATAATTTTGCAGAAAATATGCTATGCTCTCAATACTTTTAGGGTGAAAGGATGGAAAAAAATAAAGTATATCTGATAAAAGACATGTTTCCAAATTCCTACAGAGATTTGGAATCATGAATACAATTTTCTTCTTCTACAATTTGTGTCTTATACTTTAAGTGTTTTCCTCATCTTTTCCTCTTCCTTACATTAAAAGTTTGTATATGTGTAAAAATATATTTGCTGCAAATGTGAGTAAATGATATGATTTTGTAGCAACCATTTATTTTATTAAATGACTAAACTAAGAACAATTGCTAGAAATGTTGGTCCAACAAAATAATACAATAGTTGATTTAGAGAAAGTGCATGATAAAGTAAATCAGCCTGAATTATGGAAGGTTCTGCTTGAATATGACACTGAAACTTGGCTGCTGAATGCACCAAGATACATGATACGATAGAAGTAAAACATATCTGAGAAGTCATTGGATGTTTTGAGAACAGTTCAAAACTTAGTAGGTAGTAACACACCTCTGTTTGCTTAATGTATTTATCAATAAATGTTAATGGCTTGCTGATGTAACTCATGCCATCTACATGGCATGGGATCAGGATATCTGTGGGACCAACTTTTCCCAATTGTCTCTGCCTGCTCCATCAGATCCAGCAGCAGTAGCATGCTCTAGGTACTGTCTGTTAAGGAGTGCTATTTAATAGTACCCCAGTAGTATACCTTTTATGTAACTGAAAGTCCCATTTCTCCAAGATAAAGTTGTCCCTTGCTGATTGTTAGGAAGGTTCTCTTCCCATGCAGGGAGGTTGAGAGGTTAGACAATCCTAGAAGTTATTGTTGATGGTTATTTTTGGTTGCCATTTTTCCTTGTTCTTATTTATTAGTCATTGTTATTGTTGTTTGAATATTTTTACCAATGTTTGTCCCCAAACCTGTTATTATACAACCATGCCCGAGATGAATTAAGTGATGCCATGATTGTCTTATCCTAATGCTTGGATGCTGTGAGTATCTGTATGGGGAAAGAGAGGGTTCAACTGAACCCTGGCAACACTGAGTGGCTTTGGGATTTGGGACCTGTCAGTTCTAGGACTATGATGCTGAATGAGGTTGCACTGCCCAAACAAATCCCAGATGTAATCTTGGACTCCACCTGGATTTCTGGCTCCTGGTTGAAGAGAAGATAGCAGCCGTTGGTGGTATGAGCCCCAGTGGCTAGAATACAGTATTGCAGGCTAACTTTACCCACAGTTTGGAGTTTCATCCCAACTGTTTGAGGTTCACTTAGTCTTCAATCCTTCCAAGGTTGGTCAAATGAGGAGTAGATTGTTGGGGAAGACATGCTGATGTTGTGAATCTCTCAGAGAGTCCTATAAAGCACTATGGAATGTATGTAACTTTAAGTGTTATTGCTATTGCTATACAAGTAAACCGAAATATACAATTTATACAGTGAAATAAATACAGTATCTTGTCTTTGTTCAGCAGACAATATACATAGGTCTAAGATCTGAAAAAGAAATATTGTAATCAAATACATTTACTTCCTAATGGTGTATCAACATTTTCAAATAGGCCAGGTCACAAAACTGATGCTGTAGTGATTCCAGGAATATTACTTTATTGTTATAGGTTATAGTAACAGACATTTGATAACTAGTTCAAAAGATCCAATTTCCGCATTTTAAGAGCAGTGAGGTCAGGCTGGGGCTATTTTGAATATTTTTCTTACACTTTCTATTCTTCTCAACTGAGCAACATTTTATCTCTCCAACTTTCTTTTCAAGGCCAGTGTTAAATTCTTCAAGACCAATGAATATCAGTAATTGTTATTTTTTTGTTTTTAGATGGTCTTTTTTGTTTAGTTCTGGTCTCAGTACAATTATGTAACATTTAGGGAAAAATATAGATCCCAATATTCCTATACTGGAAGCCAAGATGGAGAAAATCTCCACAGCTACCATGTATTTTCCTTTGGTGCTCAGATAGGTTGGGACAAAAGACACCCATACGCTACAGAACACCAGCATGCTGAAAGCAATAAATTTGGCTTCATTAAAAGTGTCTGGCAGCTTCCGAGCAAAGAAAGCCACAATGTAGCTGATAAGAGCCAGCAATCCCATATAGCCTAAAATATAATAGAACATGTTACCTGATCCTTCATTGCATGCGACTACAATCTCTTCTGGAAGAGAATGCATGTCCAGATTTGGGAAGGGAGGGCTAGTACACAGCCACAGTATGCAAATACTTGCTTGGATGCAGGAACAACAGAGAATCAGAGAGTTGGAAAATCTTTTCCCCACCCATTTTCTCATTTTTGATCCTGGCTTAGTGGCCATAAAAGCTAGAACCACTGTGATGGTTTTGGCCAAAACTGAAGAAACAGCAACTGAGAAGATGATCCCAAAAGTAATTTGTCGAAGAAGACAGGTCAGCAATTGGGGTTGACCAATGAATAGGAAGGAACAGAGGAAGCAGAGGAAGAGGGAGACAAGGAGAAGATAAGTGAGATTCCGGTTGTTAGCTTTGACAATGGGAGTATTCCGATGTTTTATAAAAATTCCAAGTACTACCACTGTGGTCACAGAAAATGATAAAGCCAGAACAGTCAAAGTGATGCCCAAAGTTTCATTATAAGACAAGAAATTTAGATTCTTGGGAATGCACAGATTTTTTTCCTTGTTTGGATATTGTTCTTCTGGACAGTCTAAGCAGTCATCCATATCTGTGAAAATATGTATTTCAGAATTTATAGCAGTATTTTAAATTTAGCATACTTTTGTTTACTGAGAAGTGTTTACTAAATGAAAACATCTTTATGTGAGAAAAAATCAGTGGACAACTATGGTATTTGGAACTGAAATGTGCAACAATTCATTGCCTTCAGTCCTCCTAGCCAGAAGTGCTGGCAGATGTAGTCCAGCAACACTAACACCCATTCACATCTCTGTTAAAGAGATCTCTATT